ACCCATTCAATCACTCATGGAGACACAATTATTTATAATATAAAAAGTACCAAAATCCATGCATACTGGATCTGGATTCCTCACTCTTATTTTATAATTAAAAATATTGTTTAAAACCTTAAATTCAGATACATTGTATTTACTGAAAAACACATGAAATTATCATAACTTTACGTATCAAACTATAGAGAAAGAGAAATAGTAGCATTATGGTAACCGTAATAGGTTTTGGTCGATAGAAAATAAAAAACTTACGTAGATGTTAGTAGAAGGTGGCAACATTATTTCCCGTTTTTTATTTTTTTTGCTGTTTATTGAATAGGGGATGCATGGAAAGATAGAAATTGGGAAAATTATATATCAAGGATGGTTTAGTTTACAAGAAAAGTGGACGAGTAAAAAATTATTAGGCAGAAAAATAAGTAGCAAAAAGTTCTTTTTTTTATTCATTGTAATAAGGAAAGTGACAACAATTTTTGATACTAAAACCCGATTCACGAGTTTTTTTTTATAAAATAAAAAATTTAAGAAAAATTATTATTTTATAATATGAAAAGATGCTGTCTTTTTATATTTATAAATTCAATTTACATCATAATTTTTTTAATATTTTGTATTAAATATAAATATTTGAATAGTAGTAAAGACATATATTTATATTGATTTAATATATTATGTAATATTGTTGTTTCAATTTCAATTCAATTATGTTAGAAATTTATATAATTTTATATCAATTTTTTTAAAATTAAAGTTTTTCGTGTCAATTTCCTTTGTTACCTAACATACTGAGTTTTGATGGTTTACGAAAGAAAAAAAAATTATGTAAGATAATAAGACCATTCCTTTTAACTTTCTGTTTTTTTTTTAATTATTAAATAAAAATTAATTGATTACATAACATATTTTTTGTTTGAAAATATCCTAGTACCAATTAGGTCAAGAGTAAGGATGGTTGTAGTTATTTTATTTTATTTTAAAATTTTAATAATAAAACTAAATAAAACAATATTATAATATTCCTATATTTTTTAAAGTTTTTGAAATTTAGTTATTGTATTTACATATATAAATTTAAGTAATTATTATCAATTAATATACAGTGTAATGTAAAACATTTTGAGATTTAATATATTTGATGAACATTATTCTTTCACAAGTTTCTAATAACAAATAGAGTAATGAGATCAGAGCCTTTGAATTGATTTAGTTTATAATTAATGGTGGGAAAATATAAAATCGTAATGGGATTCTGATTCTGATCCCAATACTCTTAACTCTAATTACCCAAAAGTAAACAAAGTCTCACTGACATTACTTAGAACTAAGTCAAACATTTTGTTTCTTCTCTACCCACAAAAACAACATCACCACCACGTCTCAATCACTCACACCAAATAAAAACCAACTCTTGCGCATGCCAAACAATTCCACGCACTTTCCTTCCAACCTTTAATTTTCGAGTACCACTAACCGTACCGCTCACACCCCTCAAACAAAAGAGATTAAAAAAAAAAACATATTTGGAATAAATTTTTTGATCAAGATTTTTAATTTATTTAGAGTCAAAATTAATAATAATTTATATATTTTTTAAGATAAAAAATTGTGACTATATCATATTTGTATTTTTATATATATATAATAAATGAAGAGATTTTTGAGAAAAAAAAAAAAGAAAATAAAGTGCACGACACGTACGAACAACAAACTACTTGGACTACAAATTAAATGCTGAAAGATACTATTTATTCCCACTATTCTTACCTTTTTTTTTTCTTTGATCTACATTACTAATTAAACATACAAGAATTGGAGAAAAATAGAACAGAAATGGCCCTTGACATGATTTCTTTAAAGAATTTGATGCTTGTTTTCTCTTAGACTTTTAGTTATTGCCACTTCCACACCTTACTTTGCACCAATTCTTTCTTTTCAAAACTGTTCATCTCTCTTTCGATGAATTAGGAATTGTTCCATCCGTTATCTTTAAAAGTGAAATTTCATAAATTATTTTAATTTTCATTAGTTTTGGCTTATTATCTGTAAAATTCCAATGCCAGACAAGACAATACGTGGAAGTGGAAGGAACTGCTACGCACCACGAAAGCCCCTTCAACTTAGGGTAAAAAAAAAATCCCAAAGCACCATCTAGATATATAGGGTATAGTGTACATAACTTAAGATCGCACTTCAAATAAATTGTTACGTGTGGTTTCTATATATTCCAGGTTTGCATCTCTCTTTTTTATCTAATTTTCTTTTCAAACATTCCTAAAATAAAATTATTACATCTTTAAAGCTTCACTGTGAAGTGCATTATGATATAAGTTTGAAGGGTCCTATCAATAGTTCGGTCAGAATATAGTACACGATTTAACAAGATCATTTCTTTTTATCAATGTTTAATGAAAAAAAGGGACTAAATAGCGAAGACTTTTTTATTATTGTTTTAAATGAAGACAAAAAGAGCTGAAGAAAAATAATTAGGGTTTTGACAAAACCATTGGTACATGGCGATTGAACCGCTCTCCATTAAGCTGTGTTTGGAAAAGTTTTTATTTTTATTTTTCAGGTACTTGTGAGAATAGAAAAGGATTTTGATTCCTAACTTAATTAATATATATGGTGAATTTTCACACTCCATTAGGCCAAAGACGTGCTTTTTCTTTTTGTTAGTGATAAAAAGAAGATGACGAGAATGAGAATGTGTGTGTGTAGTGAGTGACTCTCCTCCATTAACTGAAGATATCTTTTTCAGCGGTGTTATTGGACTCCAACACGCACCATTTTTTTAAAAAGTGTTTCTATTCTAACTTCTATTATCGTGCCTAAAATTAGGTTTTTCGTCAAATACCATTTCATGTTAGTTATACGTGTGTCTTTATTTTATTTTATTTTATTTATTACAAGTAAGCACTCAATTTCCTTTTTGCTTTATTCGCTCTTCCATTGTTTCTGGAGTATTTAATTCTCAAGTTAATTAAAGCCGTGTTTGGGAATTCAAGTTTGTAAAATAATTTGCATTGTAAGTGTTTAAAATTTAATTAGTCATTTGCATTCGGACATACATATTAATATTAATAAGTATTATTGTAATTTTGAAATATTTAATATTGTTAGGGATGACAAAACGGGTTAGGTCCGCCAGCCGCCTTAATATGGCGGGGCGGGTTGATGTTTTCAGCCACTGACCCGTTTTGGCCCGCACTGCCAAACCCGCACCCGTCGAGCCAACTCGCGAGGGCAGGCCAGCCTACGACCCACCTAATGAATAAAAAAATATTTTTTTATTGTAATAAAATTAATTATAAAGATAATATATAAAGTTAAAATTTTTTAAAAAAGAATTTAAAAAGTTTCATTCTCATGGAAAATATTCTCCTTCCTGAAACATAACTTTCTCTCATGTTCTCCTTGTTTATCCTAAGCACTCGATTATTTTTATTTTTATTACTTGAATTAAATGTGTAAGAATTACTCAACCAAGAATAATATGAAGTTTTATCAAATAAAAAATATATAGGTATTTAAATTTTTCAATATAAAAAATATAAATTTTATAAGTTTAACGTTATTTATATATATATATATATATATATATATATATTTGTTATTATTTATCATTATGTAAATTTTATTATTGTTTTAAATTATAATTTCTTAAAATAATGTATTGATTTATATTATTAAATTGAAATAATATATATATATATATATATAAAATTATTGACAAACAAATAATAAATTTATTATTAAATTTATTAAAAAAAATTATTTAAAAAAATTATTATTTTTTAATTATGGCGGGTTAGCTCGCCAATCCGCCCTATGGCGAGGCGAGCCAAGGTCTACAATCCGTCATGACTATATCGGGCCAGCCCCGTCCCATTTTTGGCGGATCAAAACGGTTCGGGTTAGTCTGTTTTACCATCCCTAATCCATATTTTGCCCAAAGAAAATTTTTGAAATTCATTAATTTTTTTTTAATTTTCTACTCATGTGTTCAACTCAAAAAAAGTGTAATTATTAGTTCACTGTGCAAAAAACATTAATACCTAGTTATATTAAGGAAAATGTTTCAAAATTCAATAAAGTTTGGCCTTAAGCAGCTATTCATGTTCTTATTTAAGGGAAGTGTTGACTTGAGCCATTAATAGCCCAGTTCAAAACAATACTGCATTTGTATAGAATTAAATATCACACTAGTTCTTGGGTTCCAGTGTATTTCACCATATCTTATAGTATATTAGTATTTATATTCAAACTTACTAGTTTTTTAATTTATTTATCGCAATAATTAATGATAAAAATGAAATAAACTACGTATACTTATTTTTAAGATGGTTAATTAGTATTTTACTTTTTTTTATCTATGAAAATGAAATACATATCACACACAACCAATTCAGCTAAATTTGACATTGTAATTTAAATTTATAATAAGTAGATATTTTAAATATATAAATTACTTTTAAATTTACGGTGCATTTTATTATAGTATAAATTTTTTAACTCTTGATACTTTTTAAAATTTTGAAATTAAAATAAATAATAAATTAATAAATATCAGATAACAAATTATTTTGACAACAATGAGAAAATATTGTACTTTATTAATTAGTTTTTAAAATTACGTGACCAGCACGTGTGTAATTAATGTATCAATTAAATGTATATGTGAAATCACATATATATATATATATACTTAATTACGTGAAAATCACGTAAGGTAAGTATTACATAAGCTTATATTAATTTTACATTTATAGTGGCATGATATAAAAACTAAATCAATTAATCAAATTATAATATCTTAAGTTGCTTGGTTGAAAATGATTTTATTATATAATTAATTTGTCATTCATTAGTAAATAACATTCCATTATTAATTTTCTCGCAATGCTCAACATAATTTTTCATTTATTAATGTAAATGACCAATTAACGGATACCGTTAATTTCTTTTAGCAATTTGGCTAATATTTAAGAAAGAAATACATGGCATTTGTTAATAAACTATATTGGCATTAAAAGCTTTTGTACTTTAGAAGTTAACCAGATAAGTTGATTGTGTTTTAGGATGATAATTATTTTTTAAACATATATTCAATTTTATTAATGATTAAACATTGAGTTTTTATTTTATTTTATTAAAGGTGAGAGTATAAAAATAAGAGTAGTTGTTGATTGGCAGATTAAAAAAATTACAATCATAAATTTACAATTAAATTAAATTTTTTAATGATGATTGTAAAATAATCACTATATAAAATTATAACGATTAATTTTATATTTGTCGTAGTAAGCTTTGTTTATAAGAGAGATTAAAAAAATAAATATTTTATATCTACATAGATTATATTTATTTATAGAATTATTATAGATTTTGTTTAAATTGCTTCAATTTAACATTTTCTTTATTTTCTCTTTTAGTTGTATTTATCTTTTCAAATTCTTCGTATATTTTATTTGTCTCGTTTATTTGCGGCCATAATAATCACAGCCACAGCGTCATGTTTCCTTGTCTCTTTTTCATACTCCTTAATCGCATTTAATACACTCTTATCGTGTTATCACAATTCTTTTCTTTTCATTATTTTTTTTATAATTGAACTACGTTTTATTTTTTATTGTTATTGTTTAGTTTTATTCTAAATAATATTGACAGTTTTCTACTATAACTAAACATATTATACTTTAACTATTTTAATGAAATTTTTTAATTATTATTGTTTTTATGATATTACAGTTTAGTTACTTTTATATATTATCTTGAGTTGACTGTGTAACAAATTAATAAGTAATCAAATAATTTGTATTTATATGTGTTTTACAAATCATATATCATATGAATCCTAATAAAATATGTGTATGATCAATTAAATAATTTATATTTATTTTAAACTATAATCTAGATCAAATTTTAATTTTAAAAAATTAACAAAAATATCATAATAATTATTATTATTTATATGAATGTCATTATTATATATATAAATAAAAAAATAAAAAGAGATTTATGTTCATAGTCTACTTTTTTTACCATAATTAATATAATATTTATTATTTTAAATTATTAGCTTAAAAAATAATGATAAAAAAATTGAATTTTATTTTTAGAATAAATAATTCTTTTATATATTAAGATATATTGGGCATGCAAGTCAAATCACGACCCATGCATGAGTGAGTCATCGGCGAAACTTATGTTGTCCCCACCAATTTAGGAAGCATCTTTTCTAATTTTTTTAATTTTTCTTTTCTCTTTTTAATACATGACCTTAGACTATAATGATTTTATTATTTAATTTACTTTTATTTTTTTATTAAATTTTCATATATATATATATATATATATATATATATATATATATATACATTTTGATACAGATTAAACTAATAAAAAAAATTGTAAACTGAGAAGTAAAATATGAAACTTTTTTTTTTTATTTTGATAAATAGTTTTCTTAGGTTGTAGCCTCATTAAGATGCAGAATTTCAAATATATAAGATATATAATGTTTTGGAGTTATTTCTAAACTTAAGATATTTAAAAAAATTAAAATTATATTTATTCTTATTTTGAGGTTAACAAGAGATGTGATGAGATGACTCGATTATATTGAATTTTGATTTTAAGATTTTAAATGAATAATTTTGAAAAAAATAGTTACCATTTATAAAAAAATATTCCCACTATCAAATCAATTTTTAGATAAAAAAATCATGTATTTAAAATTAAATTTTAAATAAAAAATAATATATTTAAAAATTAACTATAATAATAATATTATGATTATAAGACAGAATTATTTTTCTTTTTAGATGAAATATTGTTGTTTATCATAAAATCAAAACAAAAATTTCTCACTACTCATAATTTTAATCATCGATTTAGGAATTTACATCACTTAATAATTAATGTATTTTATATATATAATTTTTTTTCAACCATTAAAATATTTTTAAAGACAAAATTATTACATAAGTTTAAAAACAGATAATATGTTTAAATATAATAATTTCCTGGTTTCAAAATACAACAATATTAATAAATCTATTAAAAACAATAAAAAATCAATATTTACGTTGATTTACTCGTAATTTGCAAGCAACAATGAGATGCAGCTTTTATGGTAAATTTGAAGTTACCCTAAAACCGTCACCTCCTCCCATAGTCAAAGACGTGTTGGTAAATCTAACCTTTTTCTTCACTTACTTTTACCTTCAAACGTGATTTTCGTTCGCACCCTCCTTCACTTACTTTACGAGGAAACGCGCATGCATCTTCACTCACTCATTTTCAGAATAATCGTAAACGCTCCATTTAAGTCCTTTTGAATTTTACCACCTTCTTGACTTCTCATCGGAATTTTATTTTATTTTTCATGTCAGCTTGATTTAATTATATTTTTTCCCACACTAGTATTTTTCAGATATCAATAAAGTTTCAGGACCAAGATAATTTTAGAGCAACTTTCAAAAAGTTTAAACCCAGCACTACCTAAAAGAGAAAGAGATGTTCCAATTATTTAATAACCCTCTTCGTTTAACATAAACACTCTCTTAAAAAAATTTGGACCTAATTTTTTTATACTTAAAAAAGAATTTAGACGAGTTAGGTTGAGGGACTGCTAGTCACTAGACTTCGAGATTCAAAGAACTAATTTATTCTTTAATTTAAAACAAGTTAAAATAATTAGATAAATACGTTGTTAGTAAACAAATGTAAGTTAAAATTTCACATTTAATGTTTTAAAATTTTTAATTAAAAATAATATTATATTTATTTTATAATGTTGACTCGTGATTTTATTCATAAACTCCCATAATATTTATTCTTTCAGACATATTTGATACATTATTTTAATTTAAATTAAACTCGATTTATATTTTTCATTTTTCTCTAAAATCAAGTTATTGTAATTTTTCTCTCTCTCAATAAATTACATCTCTATTGGTTAGACTTAATAATAATAATAATAATAATAATAATATTATGTATATTAAAAAAATATAGTATATAATCAATATAAAGGGAAAACAAAAATGAGATAATATTCCTTTTATATCTTTCTTTCTAGTTTTTTTAAATGATTTCAAAATAATTTTTAAAAGTTGATAAATTTTAAGCCAAAAATTAATAAAGTAATATTTAAATTTTTCTAATAGAGTATTGTTCCTACTAATCAGGGTAATGTATTTGTCACTGTGACTGACACTGTGTTCTATAGAGTGTATTACTAATGCTTTTAGTCTTCTTTTAATATCCATTTACTTACAACTTCCTTCATAAAGCTTCTATTCTTTTTATCTCTTAGGATTATATTACGTTCCATTCTGGGTTTGTGTTGGAAGATGACAAGGAAAATATTAGAATATTATCGTACATAAGTGGTAGTAGCGAACCTTGTTCAGAAAAGCAGTGTTTGGTTCCATTTTAGTACTATATTTAATCCTGACGTCACACAAATGTTAGGTGGTGGTGGCTAAAAAAATGATCATGCACTGACCTAGAAAATTGAAGCTTAATTGTATTATATTCCCGTAACTTTCTTGTTCTAATGTTATTTTACTATTTTCACCGACTCATCTATGGTTTCTGACATAATCTGACCTACCAAAATTTGTGCAGTTCTTGTCTTCTAACGTGGCCACGCAGTTGTCAAAATAAGCAGCTGTTGTTATCACTAATAAAGTGCTTTTGACGTAATGGCTACGAGCATATTGTGGCCACCATAGTCTTGCATTGTATATAATCTCCTTCTCATCATCTCTCACCCATTCCATCTCCACACTCTTCATCTTTCTTCAAAGAACCACTTGGCTGCTTCCTCAGCACAATTTTCCTAACTTTGTTTTGTATTTTCTCTTTGCATCTTCTTGTAAAATTTCTGCTTCCTCAGTTCTATAACCTGTGCCTCTGATATAGAGTGTAAGAACTTCAAAGGTTCAAAATCCTCATTCATATATACATATGTTTTTTTATCTCTTTCTTACGGGCTAGGAGTTACAGCAATGATCTGCATTCTGCAGATTCGTTTCCACTTCATGCAACATAATTGCCTCTTCATATCTCCATTTTCAAGGCTAATAAAAACAGGTTTTAAAAAACGCTAGTGGCAGTAGTATTGCATTTATGGGAAAGAATGAGATCTTTTGAAATGCTATACCATCCTATTCTCATACACACTCTTTTCAATTTACTCTCTACTATGGTGAATTACACGTGAGTCTTACTAGGAAGAGAACAGGCTGACTTTGACAGCAGTTCAGATTTTTAGTATGAGTACAAGATTCACATGAATTTTACTTTACCTAATGAAGAGTATCGAAGAGTGTATATTACTAGCAATATTCATAAGACCTTTCCCTTTTGCACTATTATAACTCGTTTCTTAGTGAGGGGGCAAGACTGTATAGATCAGCCTCTTCGGTCCTTCCTCAATATATATATATATATATATATATATATATATATATATATATATATATATATATATATATATATATATATATATATATATATAATTATACATGTAGATCCTAATGATCTAACGAGAAAATGACAAAAATGATAGCAGTGATTAATTATTGGTCGTGCCATTAGATCTCATTGCTCTCTTCCAAAATATGCTTTGTCAATAACTTGAGTAGTTATCTAGTCATTTCTCTATCCGAGGTTTCCATTGTTTTCATCTAAATTAGTAAGAAGGCTAATATTCAAATCATATATTTGCATGCTAATGTTATAGTCTCTGTAATTGAAATAGTTTTCTGTTTGTCTAATGTTACAAATTCCTTGAGAACTAAAATTACTCATTCACTTGTCATGTAAACTCAATAGCTTTTATACTTTTTCAGGTTTAGGCCTAGCATGGAAAACAACCTTAACCGTGTAACAGAAGGGCATGGCTTGCCTAAAGTTCCATCATTAGTTCAACATATATCATCAAATGATGTAGCCAACTTTGACACTGTTCACTTGAAAAGTCTCAGCTCGTCTTTCAAAGTAAGGCTCGTTACCATTACAGTGAGCTCGCAAAATTGAAAATAAATTTCCAGAGATTAGTCCCTTTTGATGAAAGTAAATAAAACTAATAGTATTGTTCAATAGCAACATCCATTTTGGTGATTATAATTTAGGATATTTGTTTCCAATAACAGGAAGGTGATGAACACGAACATTCGGCCAGATATCATCAAAATAAGCATTCGGTATTTATCAACATGCCAATCTCTTGCGAAGATGTTCAGCTACATAACACAATAAGAGTTCTCTATAGTGGCCAAACTGATTCTAGCAATGCTGCTCCCATTTTCTCTTCTCAATCAACTACTACGGACTCCAAGCCTCCATTGCCATCACAATCGATGCCAAATGGCAGTGTGCACCCAGAGGCAGCAAGCACAGTGAATCTTACCAATCGTGAAAGCATCAAAACCTTGAACGATAAGAGAACTAACCTTTTCAAAACATGGTCCAGTAAACTTGAGGTGAAATTATCAATTCTGCGTGGAAGGGTACATACACAAAGTGTGGAAGAGGATGCCAGCTTAAGCAACACTAATAAGCCTTTACCTGTTGATTTGTTCTTCAAAACATTGAAAGGTCCACAGGTACAAACTCCTCAGATATGCAGTCATATTCTTATTGTGTAACAAATTTTCCACATCCTAGATAACCTTCAATGCAGATTTTGCTGATATTTCAGCTAATTGAGACTTACGTTGACAAAAGTAAACCATTTTTTTTTTTTCAAATTATCCTTATTCCTTTTTGACACTCACCGGTACATAAAAAAGTTAACCATTGGCGTTTGTCTAATGTATTTTAATTTGATTCACTCCTTCAGAAGTCTTCAGAAGAGTTGGTGCTTCCTCAGGACAAGCAGTGGCCATTTCTTCTTCGGTTTCCAATTTCATCTTTTGGTATTTGTCTTGGAGTTAGCAGTCAAGCAATTCTTTGGAAAGCATTGGCCACGTCACCTTCCACTGAATTTCTTCACATAAACCCGAAAATAAATTTCATCCTGTGGCTCATCTCTGTTGCTCTTGTTGCAACTATTTTCACCATCTATCTCTTCAAAATAATTCTCTATTTTGAAGCAGTTCGGCGCGAGTACCATCATGCAGTTCGTGTTAACTTCTTCTTTGCTCCATGGGTAGCCCTCTTGTTCTTAGGTCTTGGAGTTCCTTCATCATTTGCCAAAGAATTGCCTCATGCAGTGTGGTACATTCTAATGATTCCATTGTTCTGCCTTATGCTCAAAATATATGGCCAGTGGATGTTTGGGGGCAAAAGAATGATCTCAAAGGTGGCCAATCCATCGAATATGCTAGCAATTGTTGGAAATTTTGTGGGGGCCTTATTGGGTGCATCTATGGGCCTAAAAGAAGGGCCTATTTTCTTCTTTGCTATTGGGCTAGCTCACTACTTGGTGATATTTGTAACTCTCTCACAGATGCTTCCAACAAATAAGACCATCCCCAAAGACCTTCATCCAGTGTTCTTTCTTTTGGTTGCACCACCTAGTGTTGCTGCAATGGCATTGGCTAAGATTCAGGGTTCTTTTCAATATGAATCACGGATTTTCTATTTCACTTCCATGTTTCTATATCTCTCGCTGGTAAGCTTTTGTCACACTAGTGCTTTAAATATGCATAATGACTAGTTTTTTCTAAGTTTAGTATTAAGTGGCTTATTAGTTTTATTTCATATGCTTTCGCAGGCAGTTCGGGTCAATCTTTTCAGAGGATTCAAGTAAGCTCCACTCTTGTTCATATCTATACCATATGCTATTTCATTATGTTGATTTTCTGACATAATGTGATTGTGCAGATTCTCAATTTCATGGTGGGCCTACACTTTTCCAATGACTGCCGCAGCAATTGCTACCATAACCTACACAAATGAAGTCACAAATGTTGTAACTCAATCTTTGTGCATAATATTGAGTCTCATTTCTACATTCACATTAACAGCAGTGCTTGTCTCCACCATAGTTCATGCCTTTGTCATCCAAGACCTCTTTCCCAATGACCTTGCCATTGCCACAAGCGAGAGAAAGCGAAAAACACAGAAGAAATGCTTTCCCTTAGGACTTGGGAGCCGTGGTCATTCCAAAAAGACTGAAAATTACTTGAAGTTTGTGAACTCGGATAAAAATGATTTAGTTTAGAAGCTTGTTTGACAACAACACACTCCAATAGTTCCAAGACTTCATCATCTACATGAATTCTTAGAAGTCTCGAACGACCAAGAGAGAATAACGAGGGAACCAACATCTTTACTAATAACCTTCCACGGTGAGACATGTAAGGGACATGAGGAAAAATTTTAGACTTTTCTTATGTAAATCAACATCTTTACTAATAACCTTCTGTGGTGAGACATGTGAGGGACATGAGGGAAAGTTTAAGTTTTTTTTTTGAGTAAATCCCATTCTAGTCCCTGACATTGTAAATGCCGACTGTTTTAGTTCCTAATTATATGAAATCTTCACTTTTTAGTCCTTGAATCAAAATCTTAGACCTTTCTTTTGCGATAAAAAGGGAAAATGAAGTGATAAAGAACTAAAATGAATAACGTTTTGCAAAGTCAGAATCGAAAGCGAGAATTTTGTAAAGTTGAAGACTAAAATGACATTCTCTTGCTATATAAATAATGGTTCATCAATTTTTCCCATGTATGTTAAAATTAACATTTGAAGGTTCTTCTGGAAAGAACAGAACAAATAGCAGTTTCCAGTGCATATGTTCAAGACCAATAACAATGTTGCACAAAGCCAAGAGTGATAACACTACAAAGGAATATGATTGAAGAACAGAGGAAATCTTTACACTCTGATTCAAGGTTAAGAAATGAATTTCTAGCTAGAACCTTCATGGCAACCGGTATCACTTTGTTAGAGAAAACTAATTCCATTATTCTTCTTTTGGGGATGTTGCATGCAGTTGGAAATCTGGAAAACAAGTCTCAGTTGACAAAGAAGTATCTAAAAGTGGAATTTGAAAAAAATTCATGTATATCTCTGTCTTATTTACTAATAATATATTATTTAACTCAAAATCAACATGGAGATCTATTCAATAATCATTTAATATGTATTGTCTTTTTATTATTTTGGAATTTCAACCTTTAAATAATGTGCAATAAAATACTATTCTTCATGCACTTTAGGATATTCCTCTACAGAAAATGAGTAAACACCGTCTAAATGTGTATAGTTTTGTAATATTAATCCTAAAACTAATAAAAATCTATGAAAGAATGATGTAATTTTTTTAATAGAAGTTCATGAAAGTGCAATATGTTTATTACATAAGTAAAAAGAGAAAAAAAGGTATGTAATTTGAGAAGTAATATTATGATTTATTTGAGAATCAAAATGATAATAAGTGATTAAGTTTAGAGATTTAGATAAAATAACTGAATCTATTTTATTTGAGATTTACTTAATTTTATTGCTATGTACTAAAGGAGTAAGTTTTTGTTTAGAATTGGTGTAATTTTTTCTAAATTTATCATATAATTATTATAATTATATTATAAAAAATTAATATTATAATAATTTTAATATATTTAATTATTATCTATTTTATTTATATATATTTTTAATAAAATTACGTGACGTCTTAATGTAAGATTCTAATCTAGTTGATATATTGAACATTAAGTTTCTTTATACAAATACATGAAAATAAAGAAAAAAAAATACAAAGGGACCAAACCAAAACCCATGTCGCCAAACCTAAACTTATTTCTAAAAACTCAAGATTGATTTATGAACAACATCAGAGTTTTATTCATATTATTTTAATTATAATTAATAATAAAAGAAATAATAATAAATACATCTATATTTATTAATATAATTAATATTAATCTATTATTAATAATAAAATAATAAATATTATCTTATTAATAATAAACTAATATAATAATTATTACTTTTAATAATAATAATAATATAAATTTAATTATTATTTATTTTATTAATAATATAATTTTTTTATTAATTATAATAATATAATAATAATTATAATTATAATATAATAATAAAAATTATGTAGTAGGACTTTTTCCAAAATCTAAAGGAAAATTAAAATCATGAAACATGATTTATTCATTCGGAAGAACTATTTTATATCACTATTTATCTAAATTCATATTTTTCTTTTAAATTTATTCATATCGATATTTTTTTTAATTAGACTATTTAGATAAAAAAATATTTACTAATGATTATTTTTAATCAAACGTGAATATGGGTGTGGAAAAATACATAAAAATTATTCTATATTTGTCAATAAAATAAAAAACATTTAATTATGATATTAAAATAATAATTTAATTTAAACATAATATTAAACAATAACTAATTTTATTTCACTTTCTACATATTTTCATTGTCTCTTTTTTTTTTAATTAAATAACTTTATTATTATTTTTTTCTTTTTCAGCCTTATTTTTTTGTCTTCCAATCCAAAACATCCTATCTTCACATCTAAACATGTAAAAAAAAAAAAAAAAAAACAAAGTTTCTTATAAAGCTATCTCGGCAACTTTATGTCTATGAACTTCCCTCTCATCATGTACTCTGATCTAGGATTCACCCTAATGCTTTTGGGATCGAACTATGAGAGTTGCAAACAAATTATACATTGATGATTAGTATTGAATCCTTTGCTAGTGTTATTAGCAAAAGTGAATGTGCATTTCTTATACCTCTCTCTTTATACCCCATCCTTTATTTTTATTATACAATATTTGCAAGTTATCCACATGTTCACCATGATTGTGACCATGTAAGAAGGAATTCCAAAAGAAATAAGAAATCATTGGTGTGATTGTAGTAATCCATGCCATTCAATAATTTTGTTGTATGAGATTTCAAACCATGAAAGTGCATCTTATCATACGAGTATGCTTGCAATGTTTTCTCTTAAGCCAAGTTCGTTGGTTAACTTGCATATTTAAATCCCAATGTTTAAATGAAAGAAAGGCATTATCCAAGTTGGATATATAGTAATTGGTGAAGATGAGATGAACATGTACAAAGGTATACGAGAAGAACCAAAGATATAATAAGTTGAATAAAGATTAGTTAGAAGATAAATAACTAAGGTTGTTGAGATTGGAAGGGTTATTGCTTCTTATCCTCGTAGTGGTATATCATGGGTTATTCTAATAGTATATTAATATTTGATAAAATCGATCAATGATTTTGTTCAAGTTGGTGAAACGGAGAATAATGATAAATAGAAATGTTTTTAATAGAAATACTTATATATATATATATTTATAAATTTTTTATATAATATTTTAGATAATATAAATTAAAAAATATTGTTGGAGTTCTTAAAAGACAGGTGTGACAAAGGAGGGGAGGGCCAGCTGGTGGCTTTTGGATTGGTAACTCAGAAGAAAATGACTTGGAAGTTGAATGCAATGAATTAGAGAATTTGGGTACACATTGCATGATCAAATTTTCAATTTCTATATATACATACATCTATTCTTATTTAATCAACACCTATATTTGCAGAAAAAAATCACCTTATTCAACAGGGAAATATACAGTTTCACAATGCATATAAATATTTCCAATATTTATATATATATATATATATATATATATATATATATATATATATTATTATTATTTTAATTTTCTGCATATATATTTTTAAGAGTAGAAGCAGAAGCACATGAGAAATTAAAGATATTTATTTGAAGTGAAGAGATCTGGAGGAGGGTCCCCAGTTGGCAGTGCATGAATATATGGTAGCAGCAACCAACATCAAAGGAGTATCGTTTTCATGGTTGGGTGTTTGAAAGTTTGAGTCTTTACAGGATTAATGAATGTTCCTGTCAATATGCTGGCAATCTAACCAGAAAAAGAAAAAGGAACATGGAAACCATTCTGGATATCATCGTGTTCCACAAATGCTGCAAACTCTTATTCATTCATACAAATACCTATCTTATGCTACCTTCCAAGCTTCGGCCTGTTCTTTTACCATTTCAGACCTAATCACTTACGTGTCCCTCCACTCCACACCCCATCAAATAATTCTACCTTCTTCAACAATTTCCTTTCCACATGTAACCAGGTTTTGGATCATGCAGTCGTTTTTAAGAGAACATGGCTTGTAACATACCCTACACTTCTCTCATAAAACAACAACAAAATGCACTTCATCATCACCATGCAACTATTATGCATTCATTCCAGATAAGATTTCTTTTTCCCAATTACCATTACAAAAATTAACTATTTCAATATATGATTCAATTGCCATGCAAAGAACATTTACATTATCAGTCTATTTTAATTACATTTCTTACTCACAGATAAATACTTACAAACACATTTAATTTTTTTTTTGAAGTGATAAAAAGTGTGTATTAGACATGACGTGTAAAACAATTATTATATGAAATAATATACTTATTATATATAATGCGTTATAATTAAATAACAACACATCATCGCATAAATTATTTCTCATAACATCAGTCATTCAAAGCTACACAATGTTTTTCGAATTTCATAAAAAAAAATGCGTATAATTATTATTTCTATTTTGTTTAGAAAGTTTTTGTAAAGAAGAAAAACCATCAGAGTGAAGTTTAAAAGTTAATTATTTATTTTTGAAATATTAATTTAGTCAAAAGTGTTTTAAACTCAATAATATTACTTCCACTATTATTATATTTTATTATCGTTATTATGATGATATATATTACATATCCCTTTATAGTATATAGATATAGATTGTTTTGAAAAATAGAATTAAGCTAATAATTAGATCTTAATGTATTTAATTAATTACATTGTTTATGTGTCTATTGTTCCACCTTTATCAACCCTTTGAAATTCTACTCATATTTATTGGACAATGTTACCCAATTGTAGAAAATATGTAAAAAGTGAAAACTTAAAAAATCATATGGTTAATTAATTCACTCTCCCCAAACTCACAAATCAACGAAATTACGTGAACAGTGAAAACATAAAAATTATATGCTTAAAATCATGTATCTTGTATCACCTGTTAACAAATAATAATTTTAGGACTTCGTTTGACTTTTTTATTTATTTATTTCAACATATAATATACACTATCATATTTTTTATTTAATTTCTTATTTTCCAATATTTATACAGTGAGAAAAATAGTGATTTTACAAGAAATCGGACGTGTTTGATCATAATAATGCGTTGATACTCAACAAGACAAATAAAAGTAAATATAAATATTAAGAATACATTTAATTGAAATTTTCCTGTCATGAATAAGTATATTATTATATAAACTTTCATGATCTTATTTCTTAATTATTATTGTGATAATATTAACTTGAATTATATGTTAAACTTAATCTCTTGATAATTATACATTTAAATATTAGAGATAACAAATAATGTTATTAGAGTTTTATCTCTTGTAACAAAAATAAGTTATTTAAATATTTAAAATAATAATTTTATATTTTTATATTTCTTCAATAAGTTAAAAAAAAACTGACACTTACGTAATTGTTATTTATGGAAATACAAAATTTCGTATTTCAAATTTTATAGAGATCATGATTACATACTTTGTTTTAATGATTTGTAATTTTTTTTGTGAGGATTGAGCTCAACATAATACTTAACATATTTATCAAAGCTTTTGAAAATGAAAAGGTAACATGAATTCACTTCAAAGGATTGTTTTCCAAATCTTAGTGTATGAATAGTTCAAAACTTGGAGTTCCATTTCAAATGCAAAATCAGCTTCATTTTATGTGTGTTCAACTCAAGAATTACTAAAATTAGTTAACCATTAATTTTGAACAGTTATATGCTTCAGTCATCATCTGGTAAAAAAACAATAACTCCGGAAAAATAAGAACCTTGGCTAATAGAGATGAAAATTACTATGTAACAAAAAGTATCTCGTACCCCAATTAGGCAATTATTATGTTTCAGAAAAGAATAATGGCATCTTGTGTTTCTAGGAGCTTCTTGAAAATTAAGTGCACTTATCACTCTCTACCAGATCAAGATTACTAATCTTTAGCATAAAGATTTTCGGTTCCAACTACTGGAATTGTGTAGCATCAAACAAACATTACAGATATATGTGTTGTGATCATATGAAGCTTTAAGAACCTTAACTTCACAGCCAAAATTACCACCATGAGCTGTTTTCTATAACCCTGATAACTCCCCTTCCAATCTAGTCACAGAATGAAGTGCAGTGAATGATCTATAATAAACTGATTGGTATCATATATACAATTTTTTGAAGAATTTTTACATCACTGAAATTGGGAAGCAGATTCTTATATGTAGTAAAAGGGTTCATCCTTGTAGTAACAATATTAGAAAATAAAATTGAACAGTATCTTTATTATTTTTTCCACAAATTTGAATGCAAAAAGCTTGATTAGTGACCAACCAACCACAACATTTCCCTGTGAAATTCCTTTATTAAGCAGAGGAGAATAGTTACAGTATGAGTGGCTGAAGACAATTTGGCTTCATGCATATTCAGTTCACATGTGACTACTATTCTTTCTTTTCCCTTTTCTCCTTTTTTTTTTTTTATTTGATTTGATATGTACTATTAGTGAACCATCAGAAGCCACCTACTGATAATATGGTTAAAAGTTCCATAAGAAGTGAAAAAAAGTTTTTAGCTACAACAATAAAGTGTCATGTTCTTTTGTTCCTCATAGAATAAAAGGTTTTACAGTGACAGTGACACTGACAGTGGATCAAGTTTAATCCCTTTTCTTTTTATCTTCATCTTCTCCCTTCCCTTTTGCAGCTCCCTTAACTCATTCTCTCTGCCATAAACAAAGTATTAAAATGTTAGAACTCCGAAAGTCTAAAGAATTCTATGATGGGAATGACTATATTCAATTGACAGACATCTATAAATGTTGGACTTGCACTTACCATTACCGATGGATCTTTTGCAATGGAGAACTGCCTCATATATTGAGCTTTCAGAATCACAAGAGTAGCGCCAATCATCAGCAGAAAAGGCTACACTAATACGCGGGGATGTGTCTGAATAGTATCTCCTATTCTTCACAGACTCACCTCTTTTAGCAACAGTGTCAGTACTTGATTTGTGACCCCTCAATCTTTTACACAAAGGCCTTAAGAAATTCAGATACTTCTGGAATACATTCCTTGACAGTGTTCTGCACCTTTTTAAGGAAAGACATCTAGAAGGACCTGGAGGAGTCTCGCTCTTCGGTGCATGTGATGATGAAACCAGGCTTGTGTTGGAGTCAGATGACTCATATTCTTCCATTTGCAGTGATTCAACAAAAAGAGGCATGAGGTAGCCATTGGAAAAGAGTTCATCTGCGTGGACAAGAGTAAGAGGGGACTGTGAAATTGGGAAGTCAAATTTGGAGTCCTGTGAGTTCTTAAAGAATCTTTTAGAGGGTGGCTTTCTTGGGTCCATCTCAATGAAAGAAGCTTCATCAGATGCATCAAGGGAAGTTCTAAGAGAGCTATCAAGGCTTTCTAGTGATGATGGCCTCAGGTTTACTAACCAACTATACGAGAAGCTTTCAATAGAAAGAGGCTGGGAAGTTTCCATGGATGTGGTATTGTGAAGGTATAGAAGGAATCTTGGAAAGAATTGACAATTTAAGGAAAGGGGATACAAGGTGGGCTATTGCTAGCAAAAGCACTCACACCTCTTATGCAGCATATCATTTGACTTATATGTATACATATACACACACCCCTTAATATATAATCTGTGTCCAAGAATTAGTCATGTGGCTGTCTGGCAAGAGACAATGAGTTTCAATAATTGGAAATGAGAAAGGAAGAAAAAGAAACAGAATTGTGAGCCCACCAATAGACCCATGATGTCCTGTTTCATCAGTAGTTAGCCTCACCTTTTCTTTTTAATCATTTATTGCTTTAAAATTTTCATAAAGGAGGGGTTGGTTTGTTTCTAGACTTACAGTCTAAATTCCAAATCACATCCTAGAAAATCCTGGAGGTTCATGCACACTAATATGCAAATGTTGTTACACTAGGAATCCAGTAAAAAAAAAACAATTTAAACTGAAACTCAAAAGTAATTACTCATGCTGAAGAATAATGAGTTCAAATCCTCAGTTGTTATGTCATAAATCAATGTTTTAAAACAATATGTGCAATATTGTTGATTATACCAAGGTTTTCCGAAATTTGCTCTTGTCTTATTGTTTTGTGTAATAATATTATTTGGATGGATATGACCACTATAGAAAGGTGATTTTATCAGTGTGATATTACATTCCAACTGTTGCACAGACTAAACTTACAATTATAAAATATCTGGTCGTACCATATTTATTATGTGCATGCAACCTAAATGACACAGATATGTTGTATATTTTATTGGACCATCATTGATTATTATATGCAGGAGATACTCTTGGACAACATTATTGTTTCATGAAGAGAAAAAGCAGTGTACTATAGTACTTTTAGTGGTTTAGCGTCATGCAATGGTTTTCAACTATGCACAAGATTAGAGTCTTATTCAAGAAATTTAGAATAGGAATATATCTACCAAGAAATTGTTCTCTAAGCTACCCCTGCCACTGAGCTACTGCAGTAGCAAATTTTTACCTAGCTGGACCAGATTTCTTGGATAATAACCAAAAGCCTCTTTGAAAGGTAAGTGTCGGTAAAGCTTTCTATGTAAAAGCAGAATTTTGATTTTAAATCGTATCTTACTTTTCTTTGGGAAAGATCGTGATAGGAAAAAGAGAGGACCAGGACAATTTATAACACAAGAAATTCATGGTGATATAAAAATAAATAAATAAAATAAAATGAATAATAGGAAAGAAAGAGGAAAAATAATATAATTCATTACTTTCAAAAGTTAGTATAGAAAGCGTTAAGAGGAGTGTTTATAATTTAAAGGTGAGCTAACCAAAACCAATTTAAATCCAAGTCTATAACTAAGTATAAATTATATATAAGTTCCTAACAATTACAAATAGCTCATTTAATTTAATTAATCACTGATTTGGTCAATAATATTTAAAAGCTTAAAAAATTTTACAATCAAGTTCTCCCGTCAATTTCCTCCGTTTGAGGCTATTTTTTCTATTTAATAATTAAGTGTTTAGGATGAACTTGTAATATAAATTGATTTAGAAGACTGGTAATAAAAATATTGTTGACATTTGAAGAATCTTATTAGGTGAAATCTGAATATGATATTTTGATTAGTGAGATTTAAATAAAAGAGTGCTTAAATTTATTTAAATGATTCGATTCATGGAAATTTTAAGTAGAAAAGGAAATTGTTGGAGTAATAAAAAGAGGACAACACATGAGAATTTGATTGTAGAATTTCAAAGAACTAAATCCAAGCAAAGTATTCCTTCTATACACAAATTTGGTTGTTTAACAGACTAAAAGTACAGTCAAGCTTAAATTAATATGGTTTGTAAAGGTAATTGAAAATCAAATGACATGCACAAAGGGACTGCACTCTATTCTTAAAGGAAGGCAGATACATATTACAAACTGAGTACATGATAACATTCCCTGTTGGCATCTGTGGAATCACTATTGTCCCTGGATGAGTTCAACATGAATTTGAATTCTTAAAGAGCAAAATTCATGAGGTTCTCATGGGGTAAGGAAATTCAGGCTTTTTGATCCACTAGCAGCCTGAGTGGAGATGCACACAAATCTTCTGAGGCTTAAATGTTGAAGAAAGTTACGTCTTTTTCATCCAAAAACGGGCAAACTGGTTCTGATAAGCAATTCTATGAAATGCTAAAATAGCAGACAAGGGTCCCCTCAGTTGTCGGATAAAGTAAACATCAGCAAAGGTTCTTGGGACAAAAGCTACTGAGTCAGGATAGTAAGTGACTTAAAACCAATTGGTCCCCTCCCTTATGTCCCCATTTAAGACAATATGTATTTACTAGTAAATACAACACTCATTAATGCAGTCCAGTTCTGAAAAGAATGTTGCACCATTCATACAAGCAGGAAGGACCCAAAGAATTAAGTGGTTCTGATAAAAATTGACAGAATTTTTATCTACAAGAACACAGTTAGTTGGATTGCAGATAAATTTCACAAGGGAGCATCATGACAACCAGCTCAGCAGCAGGTGAAATGTGGCTATAGGCATTAGGCAAACCACATGCACTCATTCTATAACTATTTGTCATTAAGTGCCGTTCTGGGGCCAGCTTGTAAGGATGTTAAGAGTGGAAGAGGCAACCAATACATTATTGGACTCTGTATAGCTTAAATAAAGCATGGTCTGCATTTCATTTTCAGTCATCCTTCATTGTTCATCTTCCAGAGACTTCTGAAATATTTTATCTCGGAATTCCATCTACAGTTGGCATTGAAAGTTGAAATTCTCAAGTTCTTGCTTTTGGTGAAAGACAGTCAACCATCTTAATGTTATGCTCTACAAATGGAGGCATGGCAAACATTTATCAGCACTGGCAATGAGATGAGAGGAGTGCTCGCATCACACTCTCCAGCTTCAAATGGAGGACTTGGAACTAGAAAATAATACCTTCAAGTCTCCCAAGAAACTGACTTTCAACATACTTTCTAACACACTCCTTGTTCTTACTTGAATTTTATTGAAAATTATAAAATCATTAATGGAATCTCATTCAAAATTAGAAGTGGGATTTACAAAATTGTGTTTTCTGATAAATTTCAGTCAGTAATAAAGAACGCGTTCAAGAAAGTGTATTAGATGCTGTTTTGCTAACAGTTCTACCGACAACAATCGTACCACCGATTTTAAGTGTTTAAATATTGACAAAAGTAGTACAACACAACCCCACCCCACTCCTCCCCTTTCTGGTTTTAACTTTTAACCCTCCAAGTTTAACATTGAGAAGTAAAAAATTATATAAACTCTTGGTCAAGGCATAATAAGTGCACCTTTAATTTGTCTGACAGCGAGTGAAAATAGACTAAAGCAGAAGCAAGAATGCCAAAACGTAAGAAAATAGCCAAAAGCTTTATATTTTATTTCATGAGATCCAGAAATACAAAAGCATTCCACAAACTATGCAACAACATTGATGGCAAGAGGTTTCTAGACCGTACAAAGACAGTACCCATCACCATGCCAAGAAATACAAGTGGTAGCATCCTCTGAATGTTAAAATGTGCCAAGGCAAAGGATACTGAGCTAACTAATATTGCACTCCATACAGGCATGTACTTGGTTAAAGATGGGAGAAGAAAACCACGGAAGACAATCTCCTCCCATATTGGGGCACAAACTGAGACTACCACTGCATAGAGCGCCATTGCCACAGGGTCTCGCGCAACAATGGATTGCTCTACACTTGAGATGGTAACTGGAGTATATTGAAGAACAGGCAACAAATTTAGGTTCATTTGTGATAGCTGATTGATAAGGGGGAACATAAGGCAGCCTAAACCAACATCAAACTGCCAGTTCCCCTTGAGTTCAAATTTGAACCAATCAGATGAAAGAGGTTGAAACTTTGCAAGACAATGACGAAGAATTGCTATCCCAATCACACCTTCGGCAACATCCGTCAAGAGGCTGTACAATGCTTGCCCTCTGTATGTAAGAGATTCCTTTCTAAACCCTGCTGTGTATGCTAAAAATGGAACTATCCAAGATCCTACAAACCAAAATGAGGCAATCCAGAGGAGCATAACCTGCAGAATCCAACTTAGGTGCTCTTCTAGAAGTAATGAAACCAAGAGCAAATTAAATCGGCTATATTGTTTCTGATTAAGTAAATATTCGGCAATTCCATCCATATACAAGTTCTTAATTGAAAAAAATTCAATAAAAAAGATGTAATTACTTTAGGTTTCTCCAGATATTTTAACATTAGGCTGTCTTTTCCAAATTCAATAAAAAGTAGCAATGTGTGAAAAGATTTTATAACAATTTTTAAATATAAGAGTAGTTTATTAATTTTGTAGAAATTTTAATATCAAGAATGGGTAAACTAATAAATGTTATTTTTAACCACAAATTATTATTTGCAAACAAAGTAATACCTTTTATCATTTTTGCATAAATGAAATTGGGGTAAAGTTGTCAAGCAATAACTTTATTGCCGTATTGACAGCTAAGAACCCTCATTCACTCCAAAAGAAAGAGGAATGGACATTCTTGGCTATGCAGAAGTAGAGCTTCCTAAGGTAAGGAGGCACAAATAGAATCCTTGATCTAAAGTACAAAACATACTCTAAGAATTGATAGCATCGATGATGGTGGCAAAATGTTAGAAAGCATATACTTTACCTGAACAATGGTTTTTGCTGTCCAAGGAACTGTCCAGGGTTCCACACCATGAATAACAGTTATGACCTGCAATGTTACAAAAATATTACTACTACCACTTCTGAGACTCCCTAAACATGTTTGAATTGTCTATGATACAGATTTAGAGTAATAAGAACAGAATATTATTGATTAATATGGAAATGAATTAATAGAGATCTAACAATCAAGAAACCTTAGAGAATACCTAGAGCCTAACTCTTACAGGAACCACTTCAACATAATGATCATCGCCTCCTTCCCCCCACTGTGCATGCCGCTCCCTATGAACCGCTGGATCATCCCTCCCATCCTACTCAGCTCCTTTCCTTTCTCTAAAATATACTTTTCAAGTGGATGGCTTAGTTGGGCACATGCTGAATATCTGATCCAATTACTATTTTAACTCAGGCCATATCGGTGTAAGTGTTTAACTACTTGGTTAAGGACAGGTGGTCAAGATTTAAAAGCAATTTGATGTTTTGACAGTTTGATAAAGTTAGAATTTCTTTTAAGAGAACGACGTCATCAAATTCATTTTAATTAAAAAACATAAGACATAATCTATATGACTCTTACCAATTTATTTGGTTTTAATCAATACAATCAAATGTTGTTAGATATTTCTCTCTGTACATTTTTGTTTATCTTTCTATTACTGTACTGCTTCGGTTATATAACTAACTGATTTAGTTAGTTATAACAGTCTCTGTTGAAAATCTATTCTGCGGTCTTATATATAGGACTTGTGTAAGAAAGGACAGACAAGTTTCCATGGCTTTCCATCTCATTCCTCAAATCATGCATCTGGTGGATCTATTTCCTTTGTTTTGACACCAGCTCCAATGACCTTTTCGCATCAAATCACGGAAAAACTTGATAATAAAAATTTATATGGCACCAACATGTAGAACAAGTTATCAGAGTGCACCAATAACATCATATCCTCATTCCTCAAAAAACACCTTCATGTTTTCTGAACAAGCAAGATCTTGATCTTAACAGCATAAATCCTAAATATCTTGTTTGGGAACAAAATCAATTACTCTTTGTTGGGAATTTTTGAGGGAGACTAAACCAGAAAGATTTTCATGAATGAAACATAAGTCAACTATATAAGAAAACGTGATACCACCTTTAACAAAAAACCTTAAAGCATTAGGTTATGAATATTTCTCACTTATAAATTTCTCAACTTTCTCAATTCTACTCAATGTAGGATTTCAACTTACACTTGAATTCCTAACAATTTCTCTAACAAGTGTAATTTCTTTCCACATTAGTACAATCCCCCCTCGAGTGGAAACATTTATTAACCACAAGTATCAGTAGTGAGTAGTGAGCTTCCTTTTATTGTTGTTCACCACAATAAGACTTGTTCGCCTGAAACCTTGTTAAGAAGACTTTCAACGTAAGGATTCACAATAATAAATCTTTCGCCTATTCCAATCGGACTCAACTAAGCCAGTCACCACACAAAATATCGATTTTGATACCATGTGATAAATTGTGTAGGGAGTAAATAATTATAAAATTATCTGACTTGATTAGAAAAAGAAATAATACATGGGTATTTAAAGGGAAAATTAATCCTAATAAGGGAAATAAATATCCTGGAGTAAAGACTCTAAATTAAGAGGAAATCTACCAAATAAACTCATAATCCCAATCCCTTAATTTTAGGGATTTCTTACAAACAAATATATATTTATTGTACATTAAATGTGCAATATTTACACCCATATTTAAACACTCTTAGCATAGCTTCAATCTTCACTCTCTACTCTCTGGCGCTATTCTTGGTTGTATTCACTTGTTTGAAATTTTGGACAAGATCCATGCATATTTCATCATCAAACTCGTACAAAGGCCTGTCAGTTGCGTTCTAAGTTGCACAGTTCTTCTCTTAACAATAAAGCTGTTGAAATTCTTTTGCTGTTAATCCTCTTGCATCCATTGGAGATCCTGTCTCTTCTAAAGAAGATCTTGATTCTTATATCGAGGGATTACATTGAGTATGATTATGTCATCATTGAAAGTTGCACTAAAGATATTTCCATTGAAGAAGTCGAAGGCCTGATTTTTGCACATGAAGTACGTCAACTGAAGTATTGAAAGAAACCCAACACTAACTAGTGTGGCTCAAATTATTCAACAAACATCTCCTTCTGAAGGTCCCGATTAGTTCTTCTTCCATGGGAAATGGACAAGGTTTATCCACAAAAACTGGACACCAAACATATATCTTCTATGGTTCCGGACTACAAACTGTCCAAACGGCATTCTGATTTACTCTCTGATCCCTCCTTCTATAGTTTAGTAGTTGCAACTCTTATATTTCACTATTACTCATCATGAAATATGTTTTTCTGTGTGCTGGGTTTGTCAGTTTATGGCAACACCTCTTGAAACTCATTGGGTGGCTGTAAGACACAGATTCTTCAGTACTTAAAAGGCACTTTATGCTGTGGTCTTGAAGTTTGTCCTCTGATCCTCATAAGTTCCTTACTATTCAAGCCTTTTGTGATATGGATTGGCTATAGATCCAAATGATTGCAAATCTACTTCAGGTGCTGCCATTTTTCTTGTTGGTCTCAAATCAGACTGTTGTAGCCAGGTCAAGCCCTGAAGCAAATCTTGTTTCTCCACTTATTAACTTATATGAAGACAAACTCTTATCGAGCTACCGGTACTGCACTCCTGTGGTGTATTATGATAATCTTCTCACAATCTCGTACTACATACCAAGACTAAACACATGAAACTAAATCTTGTCTTTGTCTGAGAAAAAAACTCTACCAAAGCAACTCATTGTTCAACACATTCCAGGACAAATTCAGTGGGCTGATGATCTTCCAGCTTTATCTCACCTACCATGAGCTTGTGCGAGGTTGTTAGAGATCTTTCTTTTTGTACTATTCTGTTTATCTTTCTGTTAGTTTACTGTTTCAGTTATATAACAATCTCGGTTCAAGGTCTATTCTCTGGTCTTACATATAGGACTTACGTAACAGAGAATAGACAAGTTTTCAGTTCGTGTACTCATTCACTTTACAATCAATAAATGATTTCTGTCTACTTTAATTATTGTAGATCCTATCATTAATTATCGAAGAGGAAAAACCCATTAAAAGCTAACTCTTTCAAAAAAATCAATTATCTTCATGTATAATCTCTTTCTCAGATTCCTCTGCCTTCTCTCATATGACTATGTGCAAAGAGTCTTTCTTGTCCCCTTCTAATTTTCTAACAATATGCAGTGTAAGTTGAAAAAAGAAGAACAAACAAGCGTTTGCTTCATGTTTGCTACCATATCTATTTTTATCTTCACAGTTAAAAACTTACTTTAGTTATAAAACTGAGGAGTGCCTCTATCATATGAAACACAACTTTTCTTTTGGTTAGACAAGCGCCAATATAACAAGGGGAGAGAACACAAATCAGCTCCAGGTTTTTGAGATTGTCTCTATGGATTTAAATCAGAATATCATGTCAAATTTGTCAAGATTGATGGATATGGTCTAACATAGGAGTTCCTAACATAATCACGAAGCAACCACAACTACAATTTAAAACCATGATTCTAAAACAATATAGTGTTCAGTTTATCTTTCTTTAATCGATGCCAGCCTTCACAGTATATTTATACATGTTTCATCCATTGAATGTAAATTAAACCCATGGGATTATGCATTTAAAACAAGATGAACACAATCAAGACATGCGCAAGTATAGAATATTTAATAAATCAGCAGTAATCAAGAATAGAAACTTCAAATCTCTAGAGCAAAAGAGGGACACCAAGAGTCTGCAAATTAATAATTTCGTTGTTTACACTGAGGCCAAAACAGAACAAATGAAGTAAATACCGGATGAATAGCTGCAAACCAATCTTTTTTCAGGTCTTTGGTCTGGTCACCTTCAAGCTTCACCAAATCTTCTGCCAATTTATCGTCTTTGAGCACAGAGCCATTAATTTCTGATGAAGTGTTTTCATGTCTAAAACATAAAAACCTCCATTTCTATAATGAACAAATGATTCAGGTCAGAATAATAATAAAGAAAAGAAAACTAAGCTAAACTAGCTTCATACACCAACTGCACATTTCACGCACCAATCCAATCATGTAATTAAATATCTAAACAACGATTAATTGATTAAAATATCAATAAAAATAATATATTTTTTTAAAGAAAAATTGTTCAAAAACCAAACTTACTTTTGTGGGAAAGGTGATAGACGATTGGGATGGAATAGGTGATGAAGGTGGATAGAAAAGGGAAACCCTAGAGTTGTGGGGAAGGGAGAGAGAGAAGGGAAGGGAAGATATGGTAGTGGACATTGATGGCAGTGCAACACCAACACCAACACCAGAGATTGATGAACCGGGTTGATCGTTTCACTGTGCATCAGCAGATACACAAAAATATGGCCATTGGAATGGAGCTTCCGCTTCCACCAATGAAACCACCAGGCACTGTTTTGCTAATAATATCATATGTCAATTGCCTAAACCATGAATTAAACTTTGGCATTTTCAAATTTTCCCACCCTTAACCTTGATAATAATAAATTAAAATTGATATTTATCACATTATCATCACGGGTGAGCGTGAGAGAGCATGGGTTGCACATGGCAGCATTTCGCTTGTGTTGTGTAAATAATATCCACATTTCATTAGAACGTGGCTACCTTTGAAGGTAGGTTGATGTTTGATATTTTGTTATCACCATTTTTGTTACCTTTCTTTCTTTTGGTGGCATTTGATGTAATCCATATATTTTGTCATTAACATTTCTTTTGTTACCTTTCTTCTTCTTCGTGCAATTTTTTTTGTTTGATAAAATCCATATTTCGGGGGAGGGAGGGGAAGACATCAGATTGTGAACACGACGAGAGTAAAAGAACCTCAAGTGTTCTATTTTTATTAATTTAAAAAATTTATAATTCTATTATAGTTTATGCGTATTTAGTTTATTTTATATTTAATTCTTTTAACCCTACGATGGTGTAAAATTTTATTGTTGTGACATTAAAGATGTGACACTATATCAAAATTATGATTTAATTCAATGATTGAGACATTTTTGTTGTACTTATGTTTTGTTCTTCAAAGTAGTAAATTATTACATGTGTTCGCGTGTGTCTATGGTGAGAAGGAAAAAGAAAAGAAATAAAAGTAAAATTGGAAAAGTAGTTATGAGTAGAAAATGGTTAAGTGCTTAAAATTTATTCATCCAAATTTGGAGTTCAACTCATCCTTATGGACGGTGGAAACTCTTATCTTTGAGTACGACAGAACAAAGTGTGACTTTTTTTATTCTACCGTAACATAATATTTTATTTGCATGTTGTTGATTAAAATTTGTTCATCCACCCATATCTCTATTTGTTCTTAAAGTTTTTTTTACCTAAAAAATAAAATGTAATAATTTTTATCCAATAAAATAATTATGATTTCTTTTATTTTTATATCATATTATATATAAATTGATTAAAAATACAAATAACTATATAAATCATTAACGATTTTTAATACCTTCTTCCTTCATTTTTAATTATCAAGTTCATCCTTCTGTTTTTTAATTTGTTTTGAAAAGACCATTATGTAAAATTTAAGAAATTAAATAACTTTCTAATATATATATACTTTGAGATACCCTAATATTTTCTCAAAATATATTTTACATTACATGTTGTGCGTAATAGAATGGATAATTTAATATTTTAAATAAACGAGAAGTTTTTATAAAATTGAAATAAAGTTGAATTTTGGTAATTGAGAATAAGTGTTTTGTTTCATAAGAAACAATAATTGAGTGCTTGTTGATTGAGAAGATAGGGTAACATGGTAGTTGACACTTTTAATAAACCGACGGTTAGCAATCATTTTATCTTATTTATTATCAGCCATCAATAGAACCATCAAAGTTCCACCAAAATTTTGACTATTTTGTAGCTTATATGTCGCTGTTCATTTAATTCAATGCAAATAGAGATGCCGTTTGTTTGAAAACCTTGCCATTTCTCTTGCCTCCTCAATTCATGTTATATTATATTAATGAAAACAAAGGGGTTTAAAGTATATAGGTGTTTAATTTTTTTTATAATTAAGTTTTTAAAATATTATTTTACATTTTTTTACACAATTTAAATATAAATATATATTTTTTTTCTTTCTGGTATTCTTACTGTTTTTTAAATATTTAAATCATAATTTTTTTAAACTATAATACTTTTATTATTTTTTAGAAAAAATATTTATAAAACAATATCTTATATATGTATATATATAAATATATAATATTTTTAAAAATAATTTTTAATTCAATAAATATTTTATAAGTTCTATTAATTATTAATATTTTTATTAGATAAATTAAAAAAAGTTATTATATTTAAGAATTAAATTAATTGATTATAATCAATAATTTAAATTTAATTTATTAATATATAATTTAAATTAGAATATTTAAATTAAATTTTTTATTTAATTTTAATATATAAATATTTTTTTCCTATCGATAAATTTATGGTTTAAAGAAAGCGGTTAAAAAAATAAGTTAAATCAGATTAATGGATTAAAATTAACAACCTAATATATTTTGTCATATTGATTTAACATAATATTTAATTAAAAAAATTATTATATAATATTCTTAAATTTATAATTAATAAAATATTTAAAACACGAATTATATATTTTATTATTAATTAAAATGTAAAATAATTATTTTTTATTTAATCAATCTTATTTACCATCTTTAAAATTAAAGAGTAGGTTAAATCCCACATTAAATAAAATTAACAAAAGTTAAACATAAGTTAGAAATGTCACACATTTAATACCTAAATTTTTTGAGTGAAATGTGTGATCTTATCTTATTCAAAATGTATCATGAGAATATAAAAAAATGCTGAGATGAAAAAGGTGATAAACAAACACAATTCTGATTAAAAAGTGTACGAGAAAGTTAATACAGCAACAGGAAGAAGCTCCTCTTTTTAAAAGTGTGAAACGTGAAGATACGTCTTCACCACCATCTTCAAATTTGCTTTGCTACAAACTACTATTTTCAACAACTACGTGTCCATATTTTCTGGTCTTTGCTCTTTCGGTCATGCATTCATCTGAATCCCCATTTGAAACCCACAAAGCAATCACTCCATGTCACCATACGCACACATATCTAATCATATCTTAGTTACCGACCACACACATTGCCCAGCTTTTTCAAAGTTATAGCTCAACAACCACTTTCCACGTGTTTATTTTCTGTGTCTTTCTTCTCCAAATACAACACTACACTCCCCCGTTACTCATCCCCTTATATAACACCATGCCATAACATTTTCCAACCTTTGTTTTTTCACTCAAATACCACACTATCATGCCACTGTAACAACTTTCCATGGCAAATGCTGCTTCTTCTTCATCTTCCTTTTTCTGTTATTGCTTCATTCTTGCTCTGGGCCTGTCTTCTTTTGGTACTTGCATTTCGGCCCAGATTGGGTTGGGCTCCAGCTTGTTGTCTAGCAAGGCCCAAACATGGGTTTCGGAAAATGGCACCTTTGCTTTGGGGTTCACTCCGGCAGAGAGTGATCATCGATTGTTTGTGATCGGCGTTTGGTTTGCACAGCTTCCAGGAGATCGAACTTTGGTTTGGTCACCCAATAGGTACTATTTTCATCATTAGTTTTTTATCATCTTTCACTTTCATGTTTGTGACACATACCAAAATATGCCTGAGAACGTATTTGAAAAAAAAAAAATGAAATTCATTGAGTTTGTAAAGTCTTTGTTTTTTTTTTTTTTCAATTTAATTCACGCAGAATTTTAACTAGATTAAATTTTGATAATGAATTATTTTACTCATTTTAAAATAGCCCTATCCCAAATACGGTACCCTGTTTTATTACTTAGTTATGCAAAATTTGATAGAAACTAAAAGATCATGATCACGACCAAAGGTTATTGATATAATAGACCAAAATGAAAAATGAGAACATTTGTGAAGGATTAAAATGAAAAAATAGTCTTTGGCTGAATAAAATGAAGAACCATGCAACAACAGTGATATCATGTCAAGGGAGAACAGGAAAAAATGATGTAACATATTTGAAAAACTAAAGTGGAATCAAAGACGCGAGAAGATAATGATGTAATATATATGAAACTTAAGTGTAATTTTTAATTTTTATTATTTTTTAATATTTTAAACTTACTGTAAAGTTTATTAATGAGACACTCACAATTAATAATATAATTTATCTTTATTGATAAAAAAAATATTTACTGATTTACTTATAATATTATTATATATATAATTACTATTTTAATTTTTTTATTTATATTTATTTTTAAAATAAAACAAAATAAGTTTATGACTTTATTAATTAAAATACTATTTATAATTCTCTCGTTGGATTTTTTGTATTTGTATCAGAATATCACAATAAATAGTCAGATTTTTTTTTCATAACATAAAAGTCATCAACAATTATTTTGAAAAATTATATAAAAGGTTAAATTATTTTGCATACTGTTCTAGTTTCTTACATTTTTCAATAGTTTTTGTTATGTTTTAATTTTATTTTAATACTTCTCTTTTTAATAAATCTTTACAGTCCAATATTTGAAATGTGTAACATTAATATAGACTATGATTATATTTCTGTTCGTCTGGAATAATGGAAAGAATTAATTTATTAAAAAAAAATTTAACATATCGTTAGCAGTTAGCAATCTAATTAAAATTTGTATAGCTTATTAAAAGCCTTTAAACATTAAAGGTTAAAAATATTGGGAACTCAATTTAATTAATCACGAATTCAATACTTTCTTTTAAATAACAAATTATTCATTAGTTTAATTGGAAAAATTGATTGAAATGAGTTAAGAAAACTTATAAAAAATAAAAAAGTCTAAGTAAAATATTTTAAATGTATCTTCATTTACAATTTTAACGAAATAACAGAATTGCAAATGAAATAATATTAAGGATAAATTAGTACAGAAAAATTGCTTCTTTAGTGGGCGAGGGATGAATTCCTCGTGAATATGAATCCATGTCTATATTTTTTTCCTACAACAGCAAAAATAGTGTTTGATCCTTATATCTTATACAATTTACTTAAATTTCTCATCACACTTTGTTTGAATCTCTTAAATCAGTAGAAATAAGAAAACACAAAGTATCATTTTAAGGACAAGTTACCTTATATAATTTCATGGTTAAAGATTATGTCATTGTAGTGCAGATTGGATGGTTAGTTCTGGTTTTTGACTTAAGACAAAGAGAAAGTCATCAATCATATCTCCATCTAGTCTTTAGTTTTTTACAAAAGCTTCTGCAGGTTATGAATGCCAACATGTTTCATTTTCTTTGATCTCAATCCAAATAGAGACACTCCTGTATCCCAAGATGCAACATTAGAGCTTGACACCACTGGCAACCTTGTTCTCATGGATGGAGACAGCACAATCTGGACCTCTAATACCTCACGAGCTGGTGTACAAGCAGCAGTCATGGAAGAATCTGGCAACTTCATCCTCCACAATTCCACCAACCACCCTGTGTGGCAGAGTTTTTCTCAACCTTCCGACACTCTCCTCCCCAACCAGCTTCTAACAGTGTCTTCAGAACTAACTTCATCAAAGTCTTCCTCTCATGGTGGCGGCTATTATTCTCTCAAAATGCTTCAACAGCCTACTTCCTTAAGCCTTGCTCTCACTTACAATCTCCTTGAGACTTACGAAGCGTCAGATGAATCATACACCAACTATTCCTATTGGGAAGGCCCTGATATCTCCAATGTGACAGGGGAGGTTATAGCAGTTTTAGACCATGCTGGGAGCTTTGGGATTGTGTATGGAGACTCATCTGATGGAGCAGTATATGTGTACAAGAATGATGGTGATGATGCAGGCTTGCCTTCTGCAGTTCATCAATCTGCACCATCAACTGTTCTTAGGAGACTAACACTAGAAAAGAATGGCAATCTGCGGTTGTATCGATGGGACGAAGTGAATGGGTCAAGGCAGTGGGTGCCACAATGGGCTGCAGTTTCAAATCCATGTGACATTGCTGGAGTTTGTGGCAATGGGGTTTGCAATTTGGATAGAAGTAAGACAAAAGCCACTTGCGCTTGCTTGCCAGGTACTTCTGTAGTTGGTAGGGATGGCCAGTGCTATGAGAATTCATCTCTTGTGGGAAAATGCAATGGCAAGCATGAAAACCTGACATCCCAGTTTAAGATTTCAACGGTGCAGCAAACCAACTATTATTTTTCTGACTCGTCAGTAATAGCTAACTATAGTGATATTTCTAATGTGTCAAAATGTGGGGATGCTTGCTTGTCAGAATGTGATTGTGTGGCTTCTGTTTATGGGCTAAATGAGGAGAGACCATATTGTTGGGTGTTGAGGAGCTTAAGTTTTGGTGGTTTTGAGGATACAAGCTCAACTTTGTTTGTGAAGGTCAGAGCAAACGGGTCATGGACTAACGAAGGCCAAGAAGAAGGGTCTAATAGCTCTTCTGATGGAATGGGAAGTGCAAAGGAGAAGGCTGTGATTATTCCCACTGTTGTGAGCATGGTAGTCCTCATTGTTTTGCTGAGTTTATTACTGTATTACAGTGTTCACAGAAAAAGAACTTTGAAAAGGGAGATGGAAAGTTCCTTGATCTTATCTGGTGCTCCAATGAATTTCACCTACCGTGATTTGCAGATTAGGACATGCAACTTTTCACAACTGATAGGAACAGGTTAGTGTATTCTATATCAAATTTTATGGCAAAAAAGTTACAGTTACAGTAAGAGTTTTGATTTTGTGTGAAGTGTTACTAAATGACATGTTTTGCAGGTGGATTTGGGAGTGTATACAAAGGAAGCCTAGGAGATGGTACTCTAGTGGCAGTGAAGAAACTGGACAAGGTTTTGCCTCATGGTGAGAAGGAATTTATTACTGAAGTAAACACTATTGGCTCAATGCATCACATGAATTTGGTTCGCCTGTGCGGCTATTGTTCTGAGGGATCACACAGGTATGTACTCTTTCTTCACAATCAATTTTATGATTTTTTCACATTTTCTAAACTTTTATGATAATTATCCTAAAAATTATCCAATCTTTTTATGGTTGACACAAAAAACTTGTATACAATGATACATGTTTGCTGACGTGAATTTTTAATGGTTTAATTGGCTTTGGCAAATATTTATTTGACAGGCTTCTGGTTTATGAGTTCATGAAGAATGGCTCCTTGGATAAATGGATCTTCCCTTCATATCAAGGGCGAGACAGATTGTTAGATTGGAGAACTCGTTTCAATATAGCCCTAGGTACTGCACAAGGAATTGCATACTTCCATGAGCAATGCAGGGATCGGATAATACATTGTGACATAAAACCGGAGAATATATTGGTAGACGAAAACTTTTGTCCTAAAGTATCTGATTTTGGACTGGCCAAATTGATGGGAAGGGAGCACTCTCATGTGGTAACAATGGTGAGAGGCACTAGAGGTTATTTGGCACCAGAATGGGTTGGTAATCGCCCTATAACTGTCAAAGCTGATGTTTACAGCTATGGGATGCTTCTTTTAGAGATCATTGGTGGTAGGAGAAATCTTGACATGTCCTTTGGTGCTGAGGATTTCTTCTATCCTGGTTGGGCTTACAAGGTATATTCGAATACCTCCTATTCTTATTATTGTTATTATGAGAACAAAAATGTTACTACACTATCTAATTCTTTTTAAATATAATGTCCATTATTCACTGAAGTTTATTAAAAATTGCAAATTTTTATTACATTCTTGGTGTATGCAGACCTCCTAAGCACATTTTTGATATATAGTCAACTTGAGATATCTAACTGCTTCATAAAACTGATATTATAATGTTGGGTGATCGTAGGAAATGACAAATGGGTCAACAATTAAAGTGGCAGATAGAAGATTAAATGGGGCAGTTGATGAAGAAGAGCTAAAGAGAGCTCTGAAAGTTGCATTTTGGTGCATCCAAGATGAGGTTTCTATGCGACCAACAATGGGGGAAGTGGTAAGACTGCTGGAAGATTCGATCGACATAAATATGCCACCAATGCCACAAACAGTGCTAGAGTTGATTGAGGAAGGCTTAGACCATGTATACAAAGCTATGAAAAGAGAGTATAATCATTCCAGCTCATTCACTCTTACCAGCCATCTTACATCTCGTGCCACATGTAGCAATTCCACAATGTCACCAAGATAGTCTTCAAAACTTAACACGCAAAAAATTGTTCCGACTTTCAAAGTGTTTGCTGCCTCCACAATCTAAGAAATTGGTCTTGTCCTGTGATCTCAATATCATTAGGGGGGAAAATCATCGAAGGTTTTACAACGTTGAAATGGCTCTTTTTATGGTTTTGGAAGAAGCCCCACATACGAAGGAAATGGATTCTTACCTTCTATTTTGTATCTATAATCTTTGTAATTATACTCTTAGCAATTTTGAAGTATTTGTCCTTTTGTGGTTATATTTTTAATCTTTGTAATTTTGATTTTTTTTTTCCTTTTTTGACATGGTAGTATCAATAGAAATATTTGTTGGCTTAGGGAGTTAAATAATTGCTTGGGAATAGATTTGTTTTAAGAAGAACTGGTTTGGTAATAGGAATATATATATATATATATATTTTTTTTTTTTTCACACAATAAAGTACACTTGCTATGAAGATGAACACATATTTTTAAAATTTAAAATAAAATTATTTTTTATAATTAAAATGAAATAAAAATAAAAATATTTTCTCAATCTAAAACAATAACTATTTATTTACGGTAGAATTTAACGGTAACGGTGAACCAGTTCAGCTAATAGGATTTGGAAGTGAGCAGAGGGGCTCCGTTCACAATCAGCACCGAAGATCGGAGACAAGGCACGTGCAAACATGAAGTGCTAACTACCACTCCACAAACCAAACACAAATCGCCACAAAACCTCACCAGCGCAATTTAGCATCGCCACCGCAAACCCTCTCTCAATCCAGCACGATTCCATATCCCCATACCAAGATCGATCAATTCTCGATGCTATTGTCTAACGATAGCAACAGCGACGTTCGTTTGCGAGAGTAGGCGACGATGGAGAAGATGCGTCATGCGGAGGAGCTGGTGAGGGAGTTTCTGGTGTTCCGCGGCTTCACCAACACCCTCGAGTCCTACGAGAACGAATTGCGCACCGACATCGGAAAGGGCTTCGAGGTCGACAAGATCCTCGACCTCATCTTCTCCGTCTACGTTCCCAAGTTCCACGCCGATAAGCTTGTTGCTCTCCTCGGGTTCTTCAAACACTACCTCTCTTCCTCCTCCGACACGCCGCTCGTGACCACGCTCTCGAAGTTGGAAGCTTCTCTTCTACGCTTCTACGTCGTCCACGCTGTGCAGTGCAACCGCAACGACAAGGTCGTTGAGTTCTTCGCGCTCTACGGCACCGAATTGTTGCAGAGGTCACAAGATTGGACTCAATGGTTCGGTGGGTTTTGTTTCTCTTTCATCGTTTTTGTTGCTGTTATCTTGAGATAAACTTAACGGTGAAATGAGATGTCGTTTGTATTGCAGCGATTCCTTATAAGAAGAACCCGCACTTGGATCCCGAGTTTCGGGTTTTTTTCTCCAAGGAGTGGTATCAGGCTTTGCATCTTTCTTCTAGAAACTTCTTCAGCGAGGTTTTCAACGCTACTCATATCCTTCACATTAATTCTGTTCATAGCTCTAAATTGGTGTTGTGATTTCATTTCATCGCCATCCTTGACATTGTGGGGAATTGCAGCTGATGCAACTCTAGTATTAGAGTTTGGGCTTTGGCTTAACTTAGCTCTTCAAAATGGTTTGGTGAGTTAAGTGTTGTCTCCCACTTATATACTTTTCGGACTTGAGTTTTAATTCAACACTTCCCTCATTTTCATTACTATTAGGCTCGGTGCATGAATAATATGATAGGTGGTCCATTAATGGATTAAGATAACCTCTCGTTTCATATTTGGATTTGGGTTATGGTTTAATCAAATCATACAAAACCAGTTGTAAGGTGATAGTTAATTAATATACTTAATCCTTTGTTTTTATCACTAGTCAATGTGAGATTTAGATTTATTTCGGGAATATGGGCCATGTGAACGTGGTTGTGGTGTGGTGACTCGAAAAACCTTTATGCTATTGTAGACCATAATTTAAATCCATTAATTTTATTTCTTGCTTGTTTAATTCACAAAATGTCGTTGATCTCTTTCACAACTTGTTTAGCCTTAATATTGTATCACGTCTACCTTCACTATTGAAGGTTAGTTCGGAGATGAATACTAATAATATACTCAAAAGAGATATCGTACATTTAAATCTGAAGTTGTCGCAACTTCAGGCTTTGGTCGATGAGAAAGAGGCACAGTTACGTCAATTTAGAAGGTAAGCCTGTGTTTGTTTATTCAGTCTTATAGCGTGTATTGGACATGCTTGGTTTGCTGATTTATTTGGATTGAAGTATGGAAGGGAGTACTGGTTCATCGAGCAATTTGCGTGAAGAAGGTGCTAGTACGGTGAAAAATTCTCCCGATGTTTTTCCAACTAGCATTTCACAAGTAAGTCATATCGACATTAGCCACGATTCAGCAGTGGGTGAACTTGTAAATGTTCATTCCGAGTTGATTGGCTCCACATCTTGTGATGATTCAACTTTTCTATCAAATGACTGTCTGAGGAATGGCGGAGCTGACAATGCCAGTGTAAAAGGTAATGCAGTTCATATAGAGGCAAACAACATGCTTCAATGCTGCTCACCCTCTTTTAATTCCGTAACCAGGGTGCTAAGGACACTGGTTAAAGATTTAAAAGAGGAAATTTTTAATTAGAAATAATGGGATAGCGTACTAAAAATCATGGGGTAGTGCATTGTTACACATCCAATAATAAACTTACACCTTTAATTCCTTAACCAGTGCCCTTAGGGCACTCGTTAGTATTTACCATTAATTAATTGCCTGGTGGTAATTAACAAAGTTGATGCCTAATGGCTGCTATACATGGATAGAGTTGTTCAAATTCGTGTGCAGACAGACATATTCAAAATGATGAATTATTGTTCTGAAAAGATAACTAATTAATTAGTAATGGAAGTGCCTGGAAAAGTTAGGACACAATGTCAAATGTCCGTGAATTTTGAGAAATAGATGGAATTCTCTGCCAATATGACTCATTTGCATCCTAAAGACAACGATGAAATCACTTTTGCATTGCCACTAGTTGTAAGCTGTAACTTGCAATCATAAATTGCACTAAAACAAGATACTTTGTATGTGGAGAGATCTAAATTATTTTGTTTTCAAAGGATAGTTTTCGTTACACAAAACTGCAAGCATAAGAAAGTACCAGACATTTCAATGAAACTGGAAAGCTAGAATAAATTGCAGTCTTGCAGAACTCATGGAAATGAAAATAAAAGGCTTTGTATTTGTTTATTTAAATTTCAAACAAGGAAGCAACCTATCAATTTATTACCATTTATTTCCTAAAATTATGCTTTGTATTCACTAATTCAGCATGTAACTCTAATGCACTTTATTTGAACTTCAAATCCCACCTAATCTTGGATGCAGAATAAATTGTTCTTTAAATGTTTCTGTTATCCTTGATTGTATATTTGGAAATAAACAATTAACAATGAATTTTGTGGTAGAAAACGATGGGGATGAAGATTTTGCAGAGGTCAAAGTAGAGCACCAGGTAACATTGCCTATTATAGAGGCTTATTTGTCCTCCCACAGCTCAGCATTTTCATTTTCTTTACCGGAGTATATTAAGTTTTATTGGAATCTGTGTGATATCATATCACTGTGGTTTCTAGGAGACATTTTTGGGGCACACCAGTCCAATCAGTCGATGTCGCTTCTCTGCATCTGGAAACAATATTGCCAGTGCTTCTCTGGATGGAACTGTCAGGTACCCTTTTTAGTTGTTGATGTGAAGCGTTACTTCAGTGGTAAACTGGAATAGCATAGCTTTTGTGTAAATTCAGTCTCAATTACCAGCTATAGCATGTACCTCATTTGCCACTATTTAGAACCCTTGTGTGCAGATTTATTTAGAGCAATACCATAAACATCACATACAAATCAATTTTTTAAAAAAAAAAAAAAAAGCTTGATGCACTCAACAATGCTATTTTGTTTGCAAAATGCCCTTTATATGTTTTCCGTCACTAATCCTTCTTTGACTTTCACTGAGTATATGCAACTCTTAATTTTTATGAAATCTCAAGCCTTTTCACCTTTGTCTTCTCTGTATGTTTTAATGAAGGATATGGACATATGATACATCAACTCCAGTGTCTAGAAACGCAACTATATATTGTGGCACTGAAATTTTGTCACTTGACTGGGAATGTAAATCAGACCGCTTGGTATGTGAATTGCTTTCTCAGTGATTGAATTTATTCAGTTTCAATGATCATGAGACTATAAGATCAGATTATTAAGTTCTTCCTCTTGATAAAAAGCTTCTTATAGGTACATCCGATGGGTGCATTAAAGCATGGAATGTGGATGCAAAGAGAGTTGTCTGTGATCTCAACACAACTGAAGCGTTTCCAAGGTATTTCCTAATTTTAAATGGCTTAAATATTTTGAAGATCACTGCAAATATAGCATTTTTCTTGTTTTTTAGTCCCTATATTAACTTTTTTGGTTTTGCTCCTTGGAGTATTGATTGTTTTTGGTCCTTGTCATGGCATTCACTTGCTATTAATAATAATATGTTTTATGCCTTTGCAAATATAACAGTTTTTGGCTTTATGTTCCTGCAAAATTTAACAATATTTGTTTTTAGTCTTCACAGATATAGTAACTTCTGTTTACTCCCTACTTTTAGGCCTCTATAAATATAGAAGTTTTCGTTGTAGTCTCTACTGTTATGACATGATAAATAAAGTGACGGTGAATGTTGCAGGGAAAATAAAATACAAAAACTAAAAACAAAGTGATATTGTGTTTGGGACTTAAAATATATTTCAACCTTATAAGTTTTTTAGGTTTCTGTGCATTGCCTTTTAACTCTTACCCATGTTTTACAGTGTACTGGATATAAAGTGCAGTCCTGTGGAACCGATTTTTGTGTCTGCAGCAGCATCTGGAGGGTAATTGTTAAATTTTTATATGTTGAATTCTTTGCTGAACTAGTAAATTTATATAATTTGGTAATTTGATAATCTGTTTTAAAACAATGTTAGTCTATTTATGATATGATATGTATGTTTTGCTGTTTTGATTTCTGATATAAGAATGAAACTATGGTTAAATACCATTGTTTTGTCTATTCTTTCCTTTATTTTGCTTTCATTGTCCATTCTTGCTGTTCTTCACCTTTTGTTAATATTATGATGTTAACATACTGTCTATGTAGGGCTGGTTCCAACTATGTTGACAACCTGGGTTTTGCTTCGCTAACTGTATGGAACATGAAGACTTGGAAAGCCATGGTATGTGCTTCTTTGTATAAAATGTTTTATGTTTATGTTGTTTTATGGCTATTTTTAATTTTGGATTTCATAAAGACAGTCCTTCCTCTTGGAGAAGATCCCCCAGCAATTACTTCTCTATGCTTTAATCACAATGGAAAGATTTTGGCAGCTTCTGCAGTTGATGGAATGATTCACATGTTTGGTATCCTTAATTTTATTCATTTGATTCTTTCCTTGCGATGGTCTTGATGATTCCTTTGTGAATTTTTTTTTTGTTGCTGTTTACACATTTCCATTATCATTTGACTTGATTGTTTTATTTCCATTATTATCTGTTTTGACTATAATTTCACATAATTCTTCAGTTTATTATCTAATTTATCTATAGTTAGCATCACTTAATTTCAACAGTGGTTGTATTTATTTATATGTTCTCTTGCTAGGGTTGCCAATTTGCTGGGTTTCTTGCTCTTTCTAGAGGCTCCTTATTCTACGATTATTGGGCTCAGTTATTCCGTGAAATAAAATGCTGCAATTTTTATTTTATTTTTATAATAAGGATTGTATTTTGAATGTTGAAGCAGTGGCCACATGGTTTGACAATCATGTCATCCTTAACTAGTTGAAGACATGTCTGCTGGTCTACAAATCACTGGCTGGCCAGCACATGATTCTTCCATCAGTTCTATTCTTTTTGGACCAGACGAGACTAGCATTTTTAGCCTGGGCTCTGATGGGAAGGCAAGTATAATTAATTTATGATATTCCAGCTTGTGAAATGGGTTTTACATCCGCACTAATTGCTTCTTTGTTGTCAGATTTTTGAGTGGAGTTTGCAAAATCAAGGTCAAATCCTATGGTCGAGAGACTGTAGTAGGTATATTTGTAGTTTGACAGCTTACAATTAGTTTTACCATATTCCTTTTTCTTTTTGTATGACTCAAAGTAGTTTTTTCTGGTCAAAGGTAGGGAAATTAGGTATATGAAATTGAGGGTTGTCATATGTTGGATTTAAGAAGTCAACACACTTCAATATGTATAAATTATGGATGTAATCTGCGTTTTAGGCCAGGAACATCAACCAAGACAGGGTTTCTCCCTATCAAAGAATTTCCTCCCTCAAAATGCCAGAAAAAGCGATCCAACATCTTTAATTGCCTTGTACAAGCTTCTCACACAACCTATGCATAATTAAAACTGTTACATCATAGCATATAACTGCATAACCCTAAATTCATGTAAACAATTCATCTTCAATGAATTGTGCAAGGAAGATTAGCCTCGGAACATTTTGTGGGTCATGTGTTTGCACGTTCCTTCTGTTAACATTGTTCGACCCATTCATAAAATATCCTAAAGCTTGTTCTTGTAGAACTTTTTACTACAGGCGCAACATTTTGAACAGCTGCACATACTCTTTAACCTAATATGTTTGACAGATTGCGGTAAGCTGCTCATAAGGTTCCCCCCACTCCACTTTTACAACATCTCTAGAAAAATTCTGCTGTCAGTTTCCCAACTCTTCTCATGTAATCTCTTTCTCAAAAATTGAAAAGGTAAAACCAATGCGCAACAGGGCCTCTATCTACAGTCAGAAAAGCAAGCGGCCCCTTCATCTCTGGTGTTGTGTTTGGAATCTTGAAGTACTTCTCTGCCCAAGCCAACCATCCAATTGGATCACTCATCAAAATTGGGCAATTCAACCATCTGTCTGTACTTTCGTTTCTTTAGGTGTTTCAGTATATTCATATCAAGCATTAGAATTTGCATCTAGATGTTCATGACTATGTGTAATGGGAATTCATGAATGACTAGGACTTCCTGGATCTTGGTCACCTGTCCTGAAAGCCTTTTGCTTCATCTATTTGTGCATCTTAACAGGCCGGAAAATCATTATAAGTTTAGGCGGTGGAGGGCAGAGGTATATGACGTAGTGGCTTGATAGGCAATGAAACAGTCATATTTAACCAATGTTGTCTATTGGAAGAGGGTGAAAAATAGTAACTTTTGGACCGTAACTCAGATAGTAAGATCTTCGCGAAAATAACAGAAAATACTGAACTAGATAGAGAATTTTTATCTCTATTCCTCCTATCGTTGGTTTTATATATGTTTGATGAATAAATTCTCAGCGTGACACATTTTTACCTTTCATAGGTTCTGTTACCCCCTCAATGGTTCAAAATATTGCAGACATGAGATGGCATTAGATGCAAATGGGAGGAGACTCTTGGTAACATCCAGTTCAGTTAGAGCACCCATATATCAGGTTGATGTTGCATCGTGAATTGTGATTAGACCCCTCTGCTTTGAAGGGGTTATACTTCAGTTATCCATATATTGGCTTGAATATTTCCGGTTATCTTGCTATTTGTTTGGTATTGTCAATGTCTGGTTGTCTTGTGTCAGGTTCATGGGCATCTAAGTGGATGGAGAACACTTCCGCACGGTGCTCCTATTACTGCTGTGGATTGGCATCCTACCCTACCCATTTTCTTGACTGGGTCAGCTGATAACTCTGTCCGAGTAACATCTTTGTCATAGTACCAGGTTGTAGCATGGGAGTTTTCTATTATTCTTCCTTGTTGAGACTTCATTGGATATTTATGTTGTAATATATTGGTGTTCTCTCTCCCGTTCTCTTTAGATTGACCGATAGATATATAGAGGTTACTGACTGATCTTATATATTGAGGTTACCGACTGATCTTATACTATCAGTTTGTTTTAATATTTATCCAAATACCATTTTTTATAAATATTCCAAAGGTTCAGTTCTTTGGTTATGAGAACCAAGTTGGACTTGATCTAGTGGGTTTGTGTTCTATCTAGAGACTTTAGCTACACTTAATCTTAAAGGATTTTTTTGTTAAGAGTTGATTCGATTCAGACCTAATCTCGATGGACTTAGATTTTGATATCCTAATATTATAATTAAAATGTCTTGATTCTTGGAGTGAGATTTTCGGTTAGTCTTAATTAAGGGCGTGATTTTGAGAATACATAATATCTATGAAGAGAGAAGTGTGACATTTGGCCTCGTTCCAAGCGCATAGATGGGAATGTGAATCGATCGGGAGTTTTAATTTGATAATCATAGATTTTGTTAAATAGTAGTGGTTTCAGCTGTATAATAGATGACTCGCATTAATATTAGGTTAAACTTTTCTTTGGAATGTGTGGAACTTATATAAAAAAAGATGATTTAATGTAGGATATCATCATTATTAGAAACTCAGCAATTCGTTGGGGATATTTTTAAGAAAATTTTCTGTAAGATTTAATTTTATCTTTGCTCCAAATGTTATTTGCAATGTTTTTCATTCCGGAGAATATTAATTTACAGAAAATTCTGACTTTCCTGCGATTATTCTTGCAAGCATGGGTTTGCATGAAAAATTTTAGTTCTTCAAAATAATACATATAAAATCAGTACGTAATTCCAAGGGACTTTCTTGGGATTTCGTTTTTTTTTAAAAGAGCTGTTAAATAACCTTTACCTTTATATTCAGTGTGATGTTGCTTACCTTTGAACAAGCATCCCGGCGCCCGCGAACTTTGATTCCCGATTTCCATTCGACCCTTACTTACCTCAAGGTTATTGTTAAACGTTACGTGTTGCAACTTTCAACTAAAAAGGGGAAGTCAATTGAAAATGACCATTCCAACTTTTTATATATTTATATATATATATATATATATATATATATATATATATATATATATATATATATATATATATCATAAAACCATCTCTAAATACATTGCAAACTATTCGCAAAATACAAATTCCATACAGTAAACAGAAGCAATTACAATAGATTAAGTAACTACATAAAAAGTTGATTCTACAAAGTCACGATTCTTATTGGAGAATTTTTTTTATATATTAGCAGTGTAAAGCAAATTTACACTGCCATTTAATCACACACTTACTTTTATTTTTATATATCCTCCTGAATCACACACGAACTCCTGCTGCAAAAACCTTACTTGAAGTAACTTTGTGGAAGCATATGACCATTAAGGACCTGCAGTTCATATATGTAACTAGAGTTATAACATATCTGTGTGCTAGCACAAGTTTGTGTGACTATATTTGTAAATGGGTGCATGTATTTGTGTATAAACGGTAGCATATGTTGCATCAAAGAGAGTAAAATGTAATTACTCTTCTGAGTGAATAATATATATATATAGCCTTCACGTACCGCAGTTTCCTATATTTCAGTAATGGAGTTTAACTTTTGGATAACAAATTTGCAAATTCGGTGCAACAATCTAAAATAAGCATGTCTGCATCTTCTGTTGAAGAAAACGGTGCCCAATATTCCCCAAAATCCAACGGCAAATCCAACTCCTAGTCCCATGTAGAACCACGAACACACCTCAGATTTGTCATCATCACCTCCTCCCATAGGTTTTATATTGGGGGGTTTTTCATCTTGGGGGCATATCTTTGTAAGTGGAGGTCCACAGAGGTCAGGATTGTCGATATAACTAAGATTTGTAGAACCAAGTTGGGTCCCTGCTGGGATTTTGCCCGCAAAATTATTGAATGACAGATTCAATACAGCAAGAAAATGCAAGGCAGACATGGACTGAGGAATTTCTCCCGAGAAATTATTTGATGAAAGATCAATGGACTCCAATTGTTCCAAGTTGCCAATCTCTTCTGGTATCGTTCCCATCAATTGATTATGGGACAAATTCAAGGACTGTAACCCAGTGAGCATATATATCTGTAGAGGCACATTTCCAGACAAGTTATTGCTTGAGAGATCAATGGCTTTCATCAAATGAACATATGGTAACTCGTTTCCCTTTATAAGCATCGGAACATTACAAGAAATGTATACCGATAAACCTGGATAATTAAGGGTAAAGTCGAATTTACGAGTTACAAAATGACTAGAAAGCATGGATGTGATGTTATGCAAACAACTGGGTATTAGTCCTGATAATTTATTACTCGCCAAATTTATCACCATTAAAGATTGAAGTTTACATAGCTGTGTGGGGATATTGCCACTGAATTTATTGGATCTCAATTCAAGACCTTCAACATTTTGCCCTAACCAACTTGGTATTAGCCCGGAAAGATTATTGCGACATAGATCAAGTATCCGAAGATTCTTGCAGTTTCTTAGTGAAAAGGGCACCTTTCCGAAGAACTTGTTACTTTTCAGATACAGAAAACGAAGGTTAGACAAAGAACCCATGGAGTGAGGAATCATGCCTGTTAGGTTGTTGAATCTGAAATTAATAAGAACCAATGATTTCCAATCATTCCAACAGTCTGTGAGTTCTCCGGATAAATTATTATAACTCATGTCCAAGTACACTAAATTACTTTTTTTCCTCTTATTATTGTGACACAAGAGAGGAGAAATGGATCCTGACAATGAGTTATTACGTAAGTGTAAAACAACCACTTCTGGTGATATATGCGGCATGCCACCTCTTAAATTATTGGCCACTAACCAAACCACTTTTGAACTTAGAAACACATTTGACATGTCCCCGTTGATTGTGTTGTTTTCCAAAGAGATAGACTCAAGTTGAGTAGTAAAGTTCCAAAACATATCAAGCGGTTCAAATGAAGCAGTTGAGTCTCTGATGGTAAGATATTTTAGAGAGCTTTGTGTGAATAGCCATGAAGGAAGTTTGTCTTTCAAATTGCCCAATTCAATATTTAGAAGTTGAAAAGGAGGGACCCAGATAGGACCAAAATCAAAGATCAGGGAGGGAGAACTTATGGAAAAGTTCTTTAAATTTCTTAAAGAACCTAAATTTCTTTCAGACACAATCCCAGTCAAGGAATTTTTTGAAACCCGAAGAGTTTCCAAGTTGAAGAGTTGTCCGAGCTCCCCTGGAAGATTTCCATTCAAGTCATTTGACTCGAGTATTAATGTAATCAAGGATGATAGATTTCCTAAACTTACAGGGATTGGACCAGAAAAATAATTATAAGAAAGGTCAAGTTCTTGTAATTGTTCAAGTTTCCCAAGCCAACTTGGAATGGGTCCTCTGAGATAGTTATGAGATAAAATCAAGGATTTAATACTTCTCAGGTTTGGCAATGCGTCTGGTAGTTGGCTGTGTAAGCAAGTTTGACTAAGATCAATATGAGAGATGTCACTAAGGTTGAATAACCAACCAGGCAACTCAGATATGAAATCGTTGTCTGCAAGGTTTAGAACTTGAAGTGAGGTAAAATTGGCATGTTGAAGAAATGGGTAGATGTTTTCAAGTTTACACCTCTTCAAGTGTAACTCTGAAAGTGAAGGGAGCATGGTCACTGATTGAAGCCAATCAATGTCCATGTGAAGATAAACACCACCAAGGTTAAGATATTGCAATGAGGTAAGATGGGAAATCCAATGGAGATTATCGACAAGAAGATCATAATTTTGTGATAAATCTAGATATCGGAGGTTGGAGGAGTTTCCACACAGATGAGAAAGGTTACCTATTGGCAAGTCATCGCATTTCTGACTACCTATTGAATTATATTGCATGGACTTGAAGTTGTTGTTGCTCAAATTCAAGTAACTCAGATATTCAAGTTCTAACAAAGACAAGCTGAATGAACCTGATAGGCAGTGTAATTTGTCGTCCTTCTCACCAAATTCAACAACTTTAGGGTGGCTTGTGTGACAAGGGAGATCAAGATTTGTAACTCTACCTGTGATATTATCACATTTGACTCCACTCCATTGACAACAATCTAAGTTTGGGACCCATGAAGAGAGAACGTGAGAAGGATCTGTGAGCCCTTGTTTGAAGCTTAGGAGTGTGTTCATGTCCTTCTTGTTGCAATGAATATTTGAATTGGACATGACAGAGCTAAACATGATTGTACATAGTGAGCAAAGCAAAAAGAGTTTAAACCTAATGCCAGAGTGAGAGGTATCCATGATTACAATCGATTTTTTGGTCATGGGAAGGATTGCAATCTTACAAGTATTTATAAGCGCCCATATGTGATGGGATTCAAAGACTAATTATCATAAAGTAATAAAAAAATTAAAAACTAAATACCAAAACAATTATATTCTTCGTTTGGTTTGGTTTAGATTGTTCACGTTTAAAACCAAAACAAATCTTATAAAACATACTAAATTTATATTATTTTTTTATTTTATTCTCAAAGGAATGATATTTTAGAAAAATTAAAAGCATCTTCACTAAGCAACCCATCCGAATTGCTTCTTATTTTAATAAAATATAAAATAAAGATTCATGATCTCACATTATTTTTAAATAATTTAATATTAATTTTATTTCATTAAAAATATTTTTAATGAATTTTTAAATTTTGATTTGTTCATTTGTATAAATTATTTAATAAAATAATTATTAAAAATATTAAATAACTTATGTAAGATTCTTCTAATTAAAAATTATTTCAAATAATCAATATTTTATTTAAGCATATCAATAAATAATTTTTATTAGATATATTCTAAAAAAAATTATCTTAAAAAAAATTATATTAAAAAGGTATAAGGGATTTCAACCTATGTAAGACTTCAATAATTATTGATATGATAATGTCAATATAATATCTCAACTATTATACAATATATTATTTTGTCAAGTTATTTAAACAAGTCATTGAATTTATCATCGAAAAGGAAATTTTTTCCATTTTATTGATCATGACCATTAATTAATGGAGAAGTTTGAACATACTTTTCGGTTCATTATGTATCACGACTTTTTGGTAAATATGTTTCTTCCCGTGAATGCGAAGTTAGTCACTGCAGAAAAATTCTTACTCTTTTTTCTAGTAAATTTCATTTGTTTGTTGGCTTAAAAAATGTTATCCCTTAAAAATCAAGATAAAAATTGAAATAACCAATCCAGAATAAACCTCAAAAGATGGAATAAGTTTAGTTGGTTTAGTGTTATGATTTATTGTGCATGGCTCAATTTTTTATTTATAAGGGAAGTAATGATAAAAGAAATTGTTCTTCCAGTGGATACAAAATTATATTACCTTTTTACTCAAGTTTATTGATATTTATAGAAACATGATTAAATAACATGACTTAGAGTTTCCCAAAATGGAATTATATTGAGAGCCACTATGATAAAAGAAGAAGAAGAAGAAGAAGAGTAGAATAATATAAATATGTTCTGTACTAAATATTTTGTATACATATTGAGGATAAATTAACCAAGAGAATTATAAATTTTGAATTATATAAAAGAAAAAATGTTAAACAACAATGAAATTATATATCTTAAAAAATAATACAAGTTATAATAAGAGGAGATGTTATTAATTTCAAAATGAAAAAAATATAATAAAATATTACTTTAATTAAAAAGTATGATCCTATGTAGGATGTTGTCTACTGAACATGCTAACAGTAATGCTTATAATTTACGTGTTCATGGCGGAGCTTGACAAGATAAAAGCGATGGGTATCTAGAAAAAAGGACACGAGAATTTGAAGAAGAATTTACATGAAACAAATCAAAGTCCCAAGACTTTAGAATTAATATAAATAAAGTTATAGTCTTGCTTTGTTTATACGTCTTAGAGCAAAAGTTTCACTTTTTTTTTATTTAACATGTTTTATTTTTTATTTAACATGTACACTATAACTTGTTTGAAGGTAGAGAAGTGTTTCGACTCACCAGAACTCCTCTTATAAGTTATAAAGAGGTATCACTTATTTAAAAAAAAAAAAATTAATTTTTATTATTTATTTTTAAATTAATGATATAAAATAATAACTCATTAAAAATAAAATATAGGATAACCTAACTCTTGTTAATATTTTCTTTTCCTTTTTATCATATCATAATCATTATTAAATTTACATTTTTCTCTCTAAATATCATTTAATATTATAATGTATATATATATATATATATATACATATATTAATTAATTAATTATTCCACCAATAAGCTATATAACAAATAAAGAAACTCTTTAAATATTTAATAAAAGAATTTCTCGTATATTCATAATAGCATATTTATATGATCTAAATAAAATAAAAGTGAGATAATAAAATTTAATCTTAATAATATTCATATATCTATTTTTATTTAATTTAGTTTTCTTTGTTTTAAAAATACTAAAAATAATGTATTTATTTAATTTTAATATTGTTCTCTAGATTTAAATTATCAGTTTATATTTATTTTAATTTAAGCCTAATAATATATAAAGTTAAATAACTATTAATATTACTCGAAGTTTACGTTGATTTGGTACTCTTAATTATTTTAAAACTAAAATTACTGCTGCACTTGTCCAAAAGTCAACACTATTTGTTTCTCGCTCACTGTTTCCTTCCCAAAATCGACTTTAAACAAATCCACAACTTTTGACCGGGAATTATTCCGACATGATCAAATTATATGTTCTAATTTCAAAGTCATGCATATAATGACTAAGCTAATTGATGTGGACAAGAGCAATTTTTTTCCTTCATAAGACTCTTTCATGAAAATAGACAGAACTAAGATCATGATCCTGAGATTAACGTTAGCTATTTCAATGTATATATCTTTTAATTTCAAAGTCGTCTCTATGCTGGACAAAACTCATTTGTTGCAGAAAACTGTGGTGACAAGAGGGTCATTTTTCCTTAATATCATTGTTGATGAGAGTGAATATATCATTATAGAATTTAAATGTGGGTCCTTGTTTAAGACTGAGGAAGAATTAGTATGCTTAGCCTGCGGGCTTTGTCCAAAAATGGCTCTGGACCTTGAAGTGGAGGACTCGCTATCCTTTTGCTTAGAAAAGTTGTAAACATCTCTTCAACGAGCTTTTTCATGGATAAAAATTGATAAGATGTGGGACATGGAGAAAATCAGAACCATGACTCATCATCATTCTACTAAATGCTCGCTTAATATCCCAACCACGGCAATGGTGACTAACTACATGACAGGTTGGAAACTTATCAGGATTTTTTCACACCATAGTTACAGCATTAAAAGCTTAAAATGTACGTGTGCATGTTGAAATGCTAATCCTCCAAATGAAAGTTTAGGAAAAGAAAAACTAAATGAAACACATTCGTTGGTGGTGTACTGTTAAATAAAAAACATAAAAAAATTTACTTTCTTATTCCAATGCATAATTCAGTTGCCTTATTGTTGGTGTTTGAAAAATAAAAAAAAAAAACAAAAAAAAAAGGTGGCAAGTGGTTGGTTGACAAATGGTTGGAGACAAGAAAAAAATGGAAAGTCTTAAATGTACATGCACCATTCCTTTTGCTATAAAATGCTCTTTCACTTCACTCATTTTAATCATCCAATTCCAAAGCAACCATTACAAGAGTTAGTCAGCAAGTAGAAAGAAAATAATCTAGCATCTGGGTGTAATTGAGTTGAGGGTTGCTAGTGTTTTGAGAGTGCTTTATAAACACCTGTGTATTTTCTTTTTCTCCCAGTAAAATATCTGCAGTAGTCCGGAAACATAGGTAATTTTGGCCGAACTCCGTTATCAATTGGTGTGTCCAATTATTCCGTCTTTATTTTGTTTTATTTCATTTTCACAGATCTGACTACATGGAAAAATTTTGTGTATTTTTCCTAATAACTGGTATCAGAACGGGTTGTTAACTCTGCAATTTTTGTGGTGACACTATTCATATGAATAGTGAATTTACTATTCTGTGAATAGTAAAAATTTTGTCGGTGCTACAAAATTATCTACAGATGTGTTCCGAAACACGGTAGTTCACAAAAATTGTCAGAAACGATCCAGAAAAGTCAGATCCGAGTTGGAGTGATGGTTGCAGATGAAGGAAAGGTGAAAATCGAGAAGTTCGATGGTGCGGACTTTGGGTTCTGGAAGATGCAGATCGAGGATTACCTGTATCAGAAGGATATGTACGAACCACTCACAAGAAAGAAACCAGAGGGTATGAAGAGGAGGAATGAACTCTTCTCGATAGAAAGGCCCTTGGAGCCATTCGATTGACGTTATCCCGTAATGTTGCTTTTAACATTGCAAAAGAAAAGACGACAGCAGGTCTTATGAATACTCTTTCCAGTACGTACGAGAAACCATCAGCCTCAAACAAAGTTCATTTGATGAGGCGGTTGTTCAATCTACGGATGTCTGAAGGCGCTTCAACGGCGCAACATATCAATGAACTCAATACTGTTACAACTCAGTTGAGTTCGGTTGGGATCGAGTTCGATGATGAAGTACGTGTTGGAAAATCAATAATAATAATAATAATAATAATAATAATAATAATAATAATAATAATAATAATAATAATAATAATAATAATAATCCTGATTTTGATTCTAACGATCAAACATAAACGTAATCCCATACTTGATAAACATGATGTAAACTGAATGTGAAAGCATACTTGAATTAGCCATAATGATGATGTCTTTGTAGAACACTATATTGATCTTATGGTCTTCCACCTGTATTTCCCTCTTGATTTTCTCTCTCGACGAGGATAGAAAGAAAGGAACGAGACTGATACTTATGTTCTGTGTGTGTGCTCCCAGAAGGGGACCATGACCCTTTAGATAACCAGAATTAGGTTAATTACTTAAGTTTTAGTATTTCCAATTTGACCCCTCATCAAATTAGAAATTGCTCAATGGTCTCTACACAATTTTATTTTCATGACATATGCTTTTAGCCAAAACTTTAATATATCACTTTATTATTTGACTTAATAAATAATGGCCCTAACACATTTAAATTATGTATCATATATATACATGACCCAAATTTTGCCAACAATCTCCCACTGGTCACAAATATATATGTTCTTACAACCTTACAAATGTGTTATACTTTATGAGCTCAAAATTGTCATTATATTCCTTT